TTCAGGTCCGTCCAGCAAAAACGCACGCACCGCATCCAGCCAGCTCGCAAACCGCACGCACACACGCACACGCACAGACACACACACACACACTCTACAACACGTCATTTTACTTCACTCTTGCCAGGAGCAAGAATTGCCACGCACACACGCAGGAAAGTATCACGACTGCTTCGAGCCGCACGTCGATGCGCAGCAGCCCCAGCTGAGTGAGACAATTTCCTTTCGTGTGGCGAGTTGTTCACTTGTCGAATCTAGGTTCTCATGCTTGGTGTCATGTTCGTTCCCCTTTCCTGAAATTTGATGGTTTTGTATATCTCATCATGGGCTAAGCATGACCAGCTGATTCCGAGCCAGGCCAGTGCCACTTTCAAGTCAAGCCACATCATGTTTGATCTTTGTCTTAAGAAGTCGGATGTGGCTGCCGGGGCTGGAGGGGGTAGCTAATTCTGCGACCATGCAAATGATGTCTATCAACAATTCCTCAGTCAAGATTCATACAGAACTTGGGTGCACTCCGCTTTTTGACTTTGAACCTTTTGACTCTGCAACAACGACATCCACTTTTGGTCGGTTTGACCCTTCCCCAGAGCGCGCCTAGGCCGGCGTTGACGGGATCCAACGTGTCAGCAGTAGTGGTTTGAGACGACAGAGACGGCCAGGACGGTGTTCAACTCATGGTGTTTCTTTTTCTTGTTTTTTCTTTGTGTATCAGCTTGGTTCAAGGGGAGACCAAAAGGAAACCCACCATTTGTGGGTCGCCTCCACGAAACAGGGGAAGGATCCATCAGAGTTTCAAGGTATGCCAAAGCTGAGGGCAAAAAGAGGATGACTCGAAGGAAGTCATCCACCTGAAATCAACCACCATGACCTTCATCGACTTGCTACTAGCAAGTGGGTTGAACACCCAAGCTGGGACTGCCGGGGCAAAGCGTACCCTGAGATGCCCGAAGGGATAGTTCAAAGGGTTGGCAAAATTGGGTCAAAGACCCGAATAGTCTACAAAAAAAAAGCAAGACACACGGGGTCGAAAGAACTGTGGGCTTGATGATGTAAGACGTTTTCCCAACCCTGGTTCGTACAGACAAGTTTGGATTCTGCGCGGATCCGGCATGCGCCTCATTTAAAGTTTAGTTGCTCGCTGTCACAGCGGCGCGCAGCCTGAAGTCCGGTGCAGAGGTGATTGACCCTCACTGGATTCTTATCGTACAGCTGGGTCGCGGAACCTCGTAGAGGCCAATTCAAAGGTGCCATTGCAGAGCTGCGTGGTTGCTATGCTGTGTCTCAACGCAGTCGCTAATCCTGAGGAAACTCAAATTTGGTCCAACCAACTTGCATCATATTGATCTGTGAATCACCATCCCCGTTTTGACGCCCTCCTGAAGAAGCGAGACAAGTTGCGGAAAGTCATCGTTCTTCCCCCACACTTGGCAGTGCCCAACTTGTCAGGGATTGCTCACGGAGTGCCCAAAACCCATCACCTTGGCCATTCAATCTCATAGCAAGTCCGTGTAGAAGGGTCGGATGCATGGTTACTTAGTGGGAGGTTACACGGAACATGCTGTTTTTTCTGGAATTGACAGATATCTTCTTCGAACCGATGCTTTATTTCGTTTCTTTCGGGTCCTTTCGTTTATTTGAAGGGCGAGTACTTGCCATGTTATCACTGTGTGAGTGTTTCATTTCTGAGTTTTTTTTCATTGCCTGCTTTGAATAAGGACACCTAAGGGAAACCAAAGGAAACGCGTAGGGGAAACTGAAGGTTAGCCAGATGGAGACCTGAATGGAATCAAGAGCTTTTTTCAGCCTATTTTTTTTGGTGGGCGCTTTTTTGGAGGGAAAGCAAAGGGTGCACGTTAGGGGAAGCCTAGAAGGGTAGCCTGATTGAAGGGATGCTGAGGGGAAGCTCTTTGTTCTAAAGGGACATCCAGAAGGAAGGAACAAGTTCCGAAAAGTGGCGTACCTAAACTGCCCCCTGGCTCCATTTCGTGCCTTGACTTTTTAGCTTTTAAGGGTGTAGTGGGGGTTTCCATTTAACCCACTAAAAGTTAAACTTTTAGCAGCAGATATGAGGACAGCCCAGGTACCGATCCGACCCATAAACCCATGCGCGGATGGGACGGGAGCCTTGCCAGGCCTGGCGTCCGGGCCTGCCGCCACCGCCGGCGGCCGGCTACATGCAGGCGGATGGATTCGCTTTGTTTTTCTGGTTTTTGTAAAACCAACCAGCCAACCAACTAGCCAGCCAGTAGCCAGCCAGCCAACTAACCAATCAACCATTTTTGTTTAAAAGGATCTTTCAACATCCAGCAGCATAGTTGGCCGGTGTTTGTTCATTCTTACATGAAGAGCGTGCCCCTAAGAGCAAGTCTATTCAAAAGTCATGCTCATTTTGGTTGCCAATGGTTGAGGGATGTTTTGGTATGTTGTGCTCAAGCAAAACCCTGGAAAGGGCAGTTTTAGCAGTTGCAACCATAAATCAGCAAGGACAAGTTTCTGACCCTTGGACTTTTTCTGCAGCTTTTGAGCCCACCCCTTTGTGGGATGTTGTGAGTGGTCTTAAAGGGGAACAGAAAGGAAGCCAAACAGTTTTGAGTCCCCTATTTTGAGAGACGTCCATGTGTTGCTTTCAAAGGAGGTCCAAGGTCTAGGCGTTGCCCATTTGACCTTTCAGGCGGCTGGCTATATGCAGCCGATGGTGCCACACCCAGTTTTGAGCAGCGCTGGTTGTTCTATTACATGCTTGATGGGAATTCTAGGGAGGCCTGAATGTGTGTGTCTCTGGGATATCGTTTGGGGTTGCTTTGAGAGCTCTGGTGATGAGGGTCATGTCCTTTCAAATGCGCTTTAGAGGAAGCCCAGAGGGAAAGCCACTAGTTTTCTTTTGGGGAACTCGCTTGCTCTTACTCGTCCTGAGCTTTGCATGGGTACAGCTGTTTCCGTTTTGGGAAAGCAGTTTGGTTTAGCACAGAAGGCATTCTTGGGTCAGATCATTTCGCATCTTCGGTGGGGCCCAATTTTAGACATGAGTCGCTTGCTCAAAACCCGGGTAGATGAAGGTGAAGAGAGAATCCCAGCCATACATTGGTGTGGATGTCGCTCTGGGTAGACCATCTTAATGCCCGCCCACCAATTCACATGGAACCTGACGTTTGGGGGGTCCCTTTAAATGGAATCTGGTACCCCCCGAATGTCAGGTTCCATGTGAGAAGGGTGGGAGCGCACCCATCGAGTGCCGGCAGAGGCGCAGCCAAGCCGCTATGGAGGCATGGGAGGACATGGAGCACGCCCAAAACTATCGGTTAGCTTTGTACAGCCGCGGCTTCATCCAACATTGGAGCGCGTTGTCTGACTCGTCAAAACACGTGTCTCTGCCCCGACGGACGTGGCAAAGACCGTGAAAGGGAGGTTGGGGTTGATAAGGGTGACACAAATCAACCTTCATAGCCATATTGGTGGAGCCGGAGGTCAGCAGGTCTTGGGCGCTCATTTAGGAAGACTTCCTGCGCTTTGCCACGAAATTGTTTGCTGAGGTCCTACTTCCTTTCCCACTGGCCCCATAGGTACCGAATTTGTGGCATGTTTGTTTGAGGGTTCTACCTCAGCGCTTGGGAGAGTCCAGCGTAGGGGTTCTTTCCAGGCTTCACCTTGTCAAGCACCTGACGAGTGAGGAATGAGGGCGAGCGACAGAAAGAAGGGGAGAGAAAGAGGGGGATAGAGAAGAAGAAATAGAGAGAGAGAGAGAGAGAGAGAGAGAAACAGAAAAAAGACAGAGAGCGAGAGAGAGAGAGAGAGAGTGAGAGAAAAAAGGAGAGAGAAAGGAGAGAGAAAAGAGAGAGAAGAGAGAGTGAGCGAGAGAGATTGGTACAGGATCCGGGGGAACGACAGTAACCACTATAGCGTGCATTGAAGATACATGCGCACAATTTCAGCAATGTAAACACAAGTGCGCAGGCCCAAGACTCCTGGACACGCAAGTGCGACAGTCGTTTGGGTTGGGAAATGGCTCGTGTTCAGGATCCCTTGAGAGACACATTTCAGCCGGGTGTATGTTCTTGTTGAGGGCACCCCCTCTTTGTATGTGGGGGGTCTCCTAACAAAAAGACACATCCGAATTATGACATTTCAGATACCCTCCCCCCACCCCTAATAGTCACTAGCTGTCCCTACAGTCGACTGTGGATGGACGAAATTCTGCACCACTTTGAAACGGTGGTTCAAACCATTGTTCTTTGGTATTAACAGGGAATCGTCCAGCCCTGAATCAGTGTGACCAAGCCCCCCTGTGGGTTACGGGTGAGGCTTTTTCCTTCCGGCCACTTGCGGCCAACCGTGCCACCGGTCTTTCATTCAATCCAAAGTGGGGTCCGAGGGTCCGAGGGCTCCTGGGTGACTTCTTGGCTAAGACCTGGAAGCGGATTCCTGGGACTCTGGGACCTTCCAGGCCAGTCACAAAAAAATGAGAAAGGATCCCCAAAGTGCAAGGTCTCCGATTTCAGGGAGGCTACAAATTCCGTCTTTTTGTTCTTCTTCTTTCTTTCTTCACCCGCCCAGGAGGGTTGCTTGAGATCCAGCAGTCTTCCTTTTGTTTTGTTTCTTCTCTCCCCCAAATTTTGTGCCCCATGGGGTCGTTTTTTTTTTTGGGTTTCCTTTCGGGGCAACCAGGAAAAAAAAAAAAAAAACAACACACAAAACAGCCGCGTGCAGGACACACGCCGCCTCCGGCTCCCAGGGTGCCGGCGGCGCCCACGCCGGGGGGCCTTGGAACGGGGGGGGAGGGCGCGTGTGGCCGTGGCGCAAAAACCGGAATTCCAGAATGGAACCCTGGGAAGTGGAAGCATGGACCAACACCTGCGGTTTGCGCCCCCTCTTCAATTTGGAGCCACATGTTGGGAATCTGTCTTGCGGTTGGTGGCCGTTTTTGCCGTGGTTGTAGGGTTGTCGGGTTGTGGGTTGTGAAGCACCTGGAGCCATCAACAGGTATGCCCAGAAATCTTGTGGAGAGGGCGCATGTCATGGCGCTGAAGCAAGGAGCACGCTCTTTCCCATGGTTGATTTGAGCAAACATTGGAGGCAAGGCGCAGGCGAAAGCGTGGGCAAGCCAGACCGAATCGAGCCCAAACCCAACCCGAACACCACCGTGAACCCACCCTAAACTTAACCTTGAAACATCACTTTACCCACCATGAACAGGCCTTTCATAGTAGCCACAAACCAAGCTTTCTCCCTGGGCCCACACCCACACACTATTATTCTACACCTGAAATGAACCCGAAACTGACCCTGAAATCCAGCTTCCAAACAATCTTGGTTTCAACTTTGGGCTATTTGAGTTTGATAGTAAGTGACATGCTGGGAAGCCCTTCGCTTCATGAATATCCCACTTAGGGAGAATTAATCAACCACACCTTTGGCCTCTCTGGCCAGGCAAGATACTTGTAGCCGATGAGATGCCACGCCAGACAAACACATTTTGTTCCTTCTTGCCTTCGTAGGCTCCTCTGAGATGATCCTCATGTTTTATTCACTTGTACTGATGGGCAACGAAACGCACGCCTTTTGGGATGCAGGAAATCTCCACGAGACCGGGGCAAAGAAGCCAACTGGTCCGCTCCCAGGTCGCGCGGGGGCCCACCCCGGCGCGAGATGGACTCCTTGCTGGAGGAGATCAAGGCCAAGCAGGCACGCATGGCTCGCCTTTTGGGGGTACGGACTGGTTGATCAAGCTACCAACTGGTGGGGGTGGGGGGTCGCGGCTGTTGTTTTTGGAGTTGGAACTTGATTGTTTTTTTGGGGGAGGCGGGAGGAGGATGGTGTTTGTTGTGGAAGCCAAGGGGAGACACTTGCCGTTTTTGTGTGTTTCTGTATTTTTGTCAGCCAAGTACCTGGGGCTTTGTCGTGATAGGGCGTGCCGAAAGCCGAAGCTGACAGCCGAAACATGTTCGCCCAGAACTCTACGTTTGCACGCGTCCCCGCGCCCCTGCCCCCCGCCGCAAAACGCAGGCTGCCAGCTCGGCTTTGTTCTTCAGGGAAGACACATAAACCCCCCACCCAGAAACCCGAAACCCCCCAACCCTAAACCGTGTTGCTGGTCAACAAAGAGAAGACACATTGCCCCCCCACCCAGAAACCTGAAACCCCCCAACCCTAAACCGTGTTGCTGGTCAACAAAGAGAAGACACATTGCCCCCCCACCCAGAAACCCGAAACCCCCCAACCCTAAACCGTGTTGCTGGTCAACAAAGAGAAGACACATTGCCCCCCCACCCAGAAACCCGAAACCCCCCAATCCTAAACCGTGTTGCTGGTCAACAAAGAGAAGACACATTGCCCCCCCACCCAGAAACCCGAAACCCCCCATCCTAAACCGTGTTGCTGGTCAACAAAGAGAAGACACATTGCCCCCCCACCCAGAAACCCGAAACCCCCCAATCCTAAACCGTGTTGCTGGTCAACAAAGAGAAGACACATTGCCCCCCCACCCAGAAACCCGAAACCCCCCAATCCTAAACCGTGTTGCTGGTCAACAGGGAGAAGACACATGCCCCCCCCACTCAGAACCCGAACCCCCCCAACCCTAAACCGTGTTGCTGGTCAACAAAGAGAAGACACATTGCCCCCCCACCCAGAAACCCGAAACCCCTAAACCGTGTTGCTGGTCAACAAAGAGAAGACACATTGCCCCCCACCCAGAAACCCGAACCCCCCCAATCCTAAACCGTGTTGCTGGTCAACAAAGAGAAGACACATTGCCCCCCCACCCAGAAACCCGAAACCCCCCAATCCTAAACCGTGTTGCTGGTCAACAAAGATAAGACACATTGCCCCCCCACCCAGAAACCCGACACCCCCCAATTTTAAACCGTGTTGCTGGTCAACAAAGAGAAGACACATTGCCCCCCCACCCAGAAACCCGAAACCCCCCAATCCTAAACCGTGTTGCTGGTCAACAAAGAGAAGACACATTGCCCCCCCACCCAGAAACCCGAAACCCCCCAATCCTAAACCGTGTTGCTGGTCAACAAAGAGAAGACACATTGCCCCCCCACCCAGAAACCCGACACCCCCCAATCCTAAACCGTGTTGCTGGTCAACAAAGAGAAGACACATTGTCCCCCCACCCAGAAACCCGAAACCCCCCAACCCTAAACTGTGTTGCTGGTCAACAAAGAGAAGACACCTTGCCCCCCCACCCAGAAACCCGAAACCCCCCGACCCTAAACTGTGTTGCTGGTTAACAAAGAGAAGACACATTGCCCCCCCACCCAGAAACCCGAAAGTGCGTCAACTGCTGATCTGTGGGCGCACGTGACGTTCTGCGGGAGCATGTTGAAATCAGGATGACTTGCTTCTGCGATAGGCAGGGAGTGGGAAATGGAGCGACCCCAAAACAGCCTTCTGGTGGTTTCCTGGGGGACAAAAGCCTGGGTTCATTGAACCACATTCCCAGCCCTCGAACATTCCAAGAGCCAGAGCCCTCGAGCTGGCAAGGGGGGAGGAGCTTGCCAGCTCAGCAACGAAAAGGATTGTTTTTCGAGGGACACCCATTTTATATCTATAATATATATATATACATATATAAAACCAAGCAACAAGACACACGCCCAAATTTTTGTACACTGAGGAGAACCCCCAAGCAAGGGGCTTGCGAAAAGCCGTGAAATTGCTTTTTGCAAACGGGGGAGCGGGAGCCCAGATTAGTTGGTGGTGTCCCCCGGGAGTCGATGAAATGTACAGACACATGGTAGCCAGAGCTGTGTGAGGAGCAGAGGAAGGAAATGCTTACCGAAAGAAAGGCCGGGGACTTAGTTCGGTCGTCGTTTTGGTCTGTTTGGGGAATCTGCAGGGCTTTTTACTCTTAGGTTGCTCCATGGAAGTTTGGACTGGCCAATCCTCAATATTTGACAGACCAAACCTATGCGCCACCAGATGATACACTTTTCCCTTTATGACTCTGCTATCCGGATCCGCGCCGAGCCTTTATATGTTGTCACAGGATAAACCGGGGTGGAGACATGATCACGCACGCCAGTCGCTCAAAATGCATCATGCTTTTGAGCCATTTTGGTCTGATTTCCGAGCCATTTCCCTTTTTGGAACCTCCAACAGTGGCAGTTTCAATCGACACCAGCAAATTGCAACCTTCGAAGGGGGAATCCAGTGACCCACGTTGATTGAGAAGCACACTACATTGGGCTTCTAAGCCATGAAGTCATGCTTTGGCCTCCGAGGACGGTGAAGCTTCGCCGCCAGGCAGGGTCAAAACGAGGAATGTAGCAACATAGATGGAAGACGCAGAAGACGCAGACCGTTGATTTGATATATTCTACTCAGCCACTGTGCTCTGTGTTCCGGTTGCCAATGGTAGCAGTGCATGCTTTCATGATGACGATGATGATGATGATGATGATGGTGGTGATGGTGATGCTGAAGATGAAGCTGGGTGGTGGTGGTGGTGGCGGCGGCGGTGGTTGTGGTGCTGTGCCGGTGCTAATGACGAGCACGACATGACGACGATGATTACGATGACAACGGTGACAGTGTAACAAAGCTTTAGCGTACCATGCCCTGCTGAGGCGATGTGTCCCCCCACCAGAACGATACAACGCGCGCAACGCGCTCCGAATTCCTTGGGTGTTGCCATTGTTCAAAAGCCTTGCGAAGGCCAAGTCAAGGCAGTGACACGTCATGACTTGAGTTGATTTCGTGCCAGGAGATATGGCCGCCGGGATGCCAAGTGTCTGGCTAAAGGACCCCCCCTTCCCATCTTTGAGATTGGCAATAGACATTTTCGGGTTTGACGTTGAGCGACATTCGATATTGGTAGCCTCATATGATACCCCTCATGTATGTAGGTTTGTGCCCCAGTTTCACCCATAAAGAGAATCAATCTTACCATGAGTAACTGTCACTAAGCCGATTACATGGGCTACAAGCGTTTGCTAAAATTGGGGAATCGCTATTGGCTGATCTTTAGAGGGAAGCAACCGCTTTGGGCGGTGTTGTGAGACTATGTTGGACATTAATCGATACGCATCTCAAAATTATAACCCTTTTGGCCGGCAAGATAAGATGCCACCCCTGAAGAGGACCCCTAAACTCGTGGGGCTTTGGTATGCTTCTTCACTTCGCGGAAGAATCCAATGTTTCGAGGTGATCTTCCTTCTTTTTCTTTTTTGTTTTTTGTTTTTTTTGGAGGGGGTGGTTGGGGTGGAAGGGGCTGTCAAACATTCAAGGAGGCCCTTTGCGGTGACAAAGGCCCCCTCATTGAAATGTGGCACAAAATAGCACCTTTGGCGGGCCAACGGCTCAGTCGCGAACCCACCTGCCGCCCCCCCCCCCTCCCCGCCCTTGTAGCTTTGATGTCTTAAGCTACCCTTTCCGCAAATCTGGGCCTGACAAATGGGGTGGTTTCATGCTGCCCATCAAATCGGTTTTCACGCAGTTTCAAGATGTTCTTTTAAAGGGACGCCTCTTTGGTGTCATGTTTTGCTGTCGTGGGTTTTCGGAGATTTCCGTGTGGTGGCTTCATACTTCTTTGAAAGGAACTCCCCTCCGGTACTCCCACAGTGGTTTGAGTTTCCCTTAAAGAGCTGTCCCTTCGTTGTACAAACTTCCCCAAACGTGACCTGTTGACCTTTTGGCCGACCATTCGTTGGATCCATCCATTTTTGGTGAAGGCTTCAAACGGTTGCCCTGCCCCCACTAACATGGCACCTGACAGGGGGTCTCGTCAAGAGAAAAACGATCTTTCAGCACAGGTGCTATGTTAGCAGGTAGCAAGGGTAACCTTTTCCTACCCATGCTTGTCCAAGTTCATACAGGACATCGAGTCTCATTGGGGCCGACAAGGAAATTGAAGAAACCCTTTGCCAGAGACTCTGTAGTCGTGACTGGAGGAAACCCCCGAGTAATTGAACCTGGGCCTAACGGCCTCGTTTGGATCCATTGGTGAAGGTTCCAAAGGCGGTGCCCTCCCTACGTTGCCATGCAGGGTGCCTTCAGGAAAATGATCTTGCAGCTACCCTCACAAACCTTTCTCCACTTGGATGTTCGTTGCCAGGTTGGTAAGTGGCCCGCCTGGGTTATAACCCACGACTAATCAGGGTAACCCATCTGAACGGGGGACTAGGTGTTGTAGCTGAACCGTTCCCCACAACTGACTTGGCCAAACACCTATTGGCACTTGTCTTCTTTTTGGGGAGGTGAGACATTCGATTTCGCCATGTGCGACATCCGCGCAGCGCGCCTTGCTCCCGTCGAAGGCGGCCGGCCTGAGCTTCCCGGTGCCGTTTCAGGGTGCCTTTGCCAGCCCAGGCGATGGCAGTCGAAGCGGGCGATGGGGCAAGGAGGTCCACGGGTCCTCACCGTATCCAACGGGATTTTCCAGGTTTGTCGTTTTTAGAAACCCACAACAACCTAGGAAGGAGCATTTTGGAAGAGGGGCGCAGGGGGAGAAGCCAGGATATCTACGATTTAGCCTCCGTTTGAAGCCGGGTCTTTTTGGGTTGCCCCATTGGCCCGGGCCCACGTTGCCCCCCCGAACGAAAGACGAAACGCGCGCGCGCGCGATGCCCGGGGCTCCGATGCGAGGCTTGACGATGCCGGTGGCCAGTGCCGTCACGGCCATGGCCAGTTCCATGGGCTCCGTGGGCGCCATGGGCGCCATGGGCGCCATGGGCTCGATGCTGGGCATGGCCAATCCCATGGCCAGCGCGATGGCCGGCGCCATGGCCGGCTCCATGGCCGGCTCCATGGGCAGCTCAGGCGCGGGGAGGGAGAGGTTTTGGCAGGATGACGTCGTTCGGGGTCAGGGGTTGTTCCTACCATGGAATTCAGGGCTAGCCACCCAGGGACCCAGCAGTCTTACGTTTTGGAGTCTCATTTCCTTAGTCGACTGTTGGCTTGGGAGGACGAGAAGGGGTGTAAATTCTCACAAGCTTTCCACAACATCAGGTGAGGCCAACCCAATTTCCCCGTGCTCCCTTGGAGAACAAAGCATGTTGTCCGTGGGCTCACACGGGTTTGTCTCAAGCTGAGAGAACGGACCCCCAAAATGGTTGCGGGCCTTTTGATTTCCCTTCCAGACTACCCGAAAGCGGTGCCCGAAAAACCGCCACCCAAATGGAGAGACAAGGGATGGAGCATCGATATCTGGAAAAGGAAGATTACAAGTGCCGCCACCCGTTATTCAATCAGGGCTTTGTTAATCCTGGGTTGCCATTTTATGTAAGCGGGTCCGCCCGCCATGTCTGGGTGGGAATCGTATTATTGCATTTTTTCCAGCTTGAATGGTGTCATGTGCGGGAATTGTACCCTCCCAGCCACTTCAATAACACCCACCAGCCCTCGAACAGGCAGATCGTTTTTCGGTGACCTGCAGTTAAAGTTCTATACTAGTGGGTGGGAGGTGGGTGCTCTCAATTGAATGAAGATCTTAAGGCACTTTCGTCAACGACATGGGGATCAACCACCATGAAACTATGAAACTGGTTGTTCACATTGAGCTGGCTCAGGGTCCACAACGCAAAAGATGTTATGGCCTTGCCCAAAAAAACAAGGGGGCCTTTTGGAGATTTCGGAGAGGGTCTAAAGCGACAGCAAAAGTGAACCCACCATTTTTGGTGCTTCCTTTTCCGTTTTTGGTGTGGGTCCCCGACATGACAAAGTATGCGCTTGCAGCTTGCGCGTCAAGAACCTTCCTATTTTGGGATACCCTCAAATCTTTTTGCTGAATCTCAGGGAATGAGTTGGAACGACCCCAAGCTGATTCCCTTTCCCAACAAGGTCCCTGTGAACCAAAAGGACGCCGCCCATTGTCGTGGATCCGATTCTTCAGAGAGCAACCCCCTTCGATTCGTGAATCTCCCCCCCCCCCCCCCCCCGTTTTTTTGAACAACCTCTTTTGAACCGCCCCTTCCCTTTTTTGGGTTGGTCTCCTCTTCTCCGCAGAACCCTCCGCCGTTGAAGGCGAGTTCTGCGTTTTTCTGAGCCACCCATCGCTTGCCGATCCAAGAGGCAGCTCCTGGGGAGCAGGCGGCGCCTCTGCCGCTGCGGACGAGCTGGCGTCGCTGCTCTTCCTGCCCCGGGCCTGGGGTCGGGGTAGGCATTGGAGGGGTGTTGATGTGGGCAACATTTGGGGACCAAGAATTGGAGCGATTCTGGGGGTTTGAAATTAGTGCTCCGCATTTTGGAGAGTGGATACCAGTACTATGGCCAACAAGCCAACATATTAGTTATGGGTGAACCCTTGGGCCGCGTTGGCTAGAGCCATTTGGGTTATGACCCTATTTGAGGAAAGAGGGCGAACGAACCAAGTAGCGGATTTGAGCCCAGCACTACATCCACCAATGGTCATATATCCACCAACATCTAATTCAGGGAACGGGGTCAAGGTAGACTTAAACCCACCCGAAAGGTTCCGTGGAGGGAGGTTAATGAGGAGAGGGAGCCCAGAATATCCACGAAGAATGGGGTCGACTGTGAACCTAGCCGAACTTACAGGGACCAAGGGGTGTAGAGGATCCCAAGCGGACATTCCGTTCCTACAAATGACGGTTCTTGGGTTTTCATGTGTCACAGCCCCGAAGTTGCCGGCTTTGGCGAGTAAAGCGGCGATTACCCTGTACACAAATCCGGCAATTGTTCACGATGAACTTTCAATTCCACCCACGTTGCAATGGAACCTGCATGGCCTGCTGAGTTGGTAACTTCAAGCTCGTAGGTCAGTTTCTTCACCTGCCAGCAGAATGGCCATGTTGGAGGGCAGGGAAGGTCCCTTCTGAATTTGAGGGGATGTTTCCCACTTGAGAGAGATTCCCTGTTTCGCCTTTTTTTGCCGCCACCGTGGAGCCAAATGCTTATGACGGTTCGGTCAAGGTGTCCTGACTTGGCTGTGGGTCAAAACCAATGGGACCACCTCTGGGCTAGGTGCACCACCCATTTCAGAACCTATTTTAGTGATGTGCACTGAGGCGGGAGTTGCCTCCCTCGACCAACGAGGAGCCGCTGCCAGTCTGAGGGCGTCACCCGCCGAGTCCTTGGGTTCCCGTTGGCTTCCCTATGAAAACCAGTTAAAAACGTACCAGAATCCATTTTTTGGTTTTTTCTTTGTTTTTGTTTTTTTCATTCTTCTTGTTTTTTCTCCATGTTTCGTACCAGAAGCGGCTAAGCCCCAATAACTAGTTCTTGAAACGGGGCAGAACATGGTTTCCAAAAGTACCACGAAACTCGTGATTGCGGTTGCGCACGATAGCAGTACTGATTGTCCGCCTGGTTTCTCAATCACAGGGGCCATCCCAAATCAACAAAACCCTGAGCTGTCAATACATGGTTTTGGCTTGGACACATGGAGCAAATCTTGACAGCGAGTATATGGTGAGATTCCGGAGGACATCATTGCCGGCCTCTTCGCGAGATATGGCATTGTGACTGCCGTGGATATCGTGTGATGCCGGCAGAGTTTGCTTCCAGCAATTGGATGTAGATGGCACAGTTCTCAAAGTCATTGTTGGGTGGTAGATGGAAGGGAAAAGTCAGCTTCGGACTTGGAAAGCACAAGCAGAAAACAGTGTTCCTCAAACTGAACATTTCGGCTGTTGGTGGGGTAATTCTTACTTGACACATTTTTTTTGTCCGGTGCATTCGAGGGTCTCTTTATGGACCCGGTGCGCATCCCGGACTGCAGATGTTTGGCAGGCGGAGTAAGGAGGACGGCCGCATCCAGGGCTACGTCGCGGCCTTGCGCAACGGCTGTGGCCCGCAACAGACATTTTTTTGTGCATTGATTTCCTCCACCCCCAAACAAATACCCTCAAAGAAAGACACATCCACATCCTCACTGTTCTTGGTGCGTTTCTTCTTTTTAGCTGTTTGGTGCTGTTCATTTTAGTGGGTGGCTGCAAACATGCCAGTCTTCGGTTCACAATCCTTGGCCACTAGCATGGAACCTGGCCTACTGCAGATTCACATGGAACGCCAACACAGAAAAGGAATCTCCTTTTGGGACGTGGAATCTCCTTTTGGTAAAACCATCGGTTTTGCGCTTGAGGAGATTCAGTCTTTCAAGACCGCGGCTTCCGCCCGAGGTCATGATGGACAACAGGGAAAATGCACAGCGGGCCAAGGCCTGGAACGCGTGGGATACCGTGCTCAGTGCTGATGGACGAGGGATGGATGAAGAGCTATGAATGCTGGAAGAAAGCACTTACCGACTTGCAAGAGGGTGTGGGATTTTGTTTCTTGGCTGTGGGCTGGAATGTTCTTTTTTTTTTTTTCCCTTTTGTTTTTCTCCTTCTCTTTTTTCTTCTTTTTTTCTTCTTCTTCTTTTTTTCGCGGTTTTAGTGTCGTCTCCCGACGTGCCGGCTGCCGGATTTTGTCCATCACCATCTTAACTATCTTATGCGGAATGATTGGGGGCAAGTTTGTTCCCATGTTCCCGACTGAGAACAAGCACGCTTGGGGCGGGATGTTTTGAGTTCCCCCAGGGACGGGTATCCGGCCTTTTAATCATTTTCATGACTTTTTGAGGTGCTTTTTGAGGTGCTGCCCTGGTAAACTTCTTGCTTTAATACCTACCTGGCTGTGGCACACAATGTACCAACATGGCACCTTGGTGAGTGGAACCGAAGAACAAAAACACCCTAGCTCTTTAAATTTTGAGCCACACCCACATGAGGGGGTTGATCAATATTCCTGGCCCACAAACCATTTGGTTGAAATATCATATCATTATTTGGTTGGTTTTCCAGCCAATGGTCATCCCATGCTTACCAGACCTTTGATCAAGCACATGGGGTGCTGTCAACAATATGGACCCTTTTTCAGATCCTGTGAGGTGAGCCAAAAAAACGGGGAACCAGAAAGGGCCCCTGCTTCTGATAGACCTTCACATGGATTTATCTTCCAGGACCCCCTTGTCAGGTTCCATGTTTGGTGGAGTACCCGACCTTTTGATCAGCACCATTCTAGGGGTACCTTCCCCATTCTTTCCAGGGATCCTTCTTTCAAGAAAACCTCCGGAAACCCTGAGGAAACGGTTTTTTTTGAAAGAACGATGGTTGAAAAGAATGGAGAAGGAATCACCCCCTAGAACCATGGATTTGCGTAGCTGACTTCAGGACGCGCTGCAGGACCGAGAGGTGGACGGCGTGCCGCTGTGGATCGAGTGGTCCAAGAACCACGTGCCGCAGGCAGAGTCGCCGGGAAACAAAGCGTTTTGCGCCGCGTTCTTTTGTGCAGACGCCCATATACAATCTACCACTTGGCTTGCCTTTAGCAGAATCACTTAGGGGTACCTGGTTGTTTTGGGGCGGTAGGACACATGGATGCATGTTTTTCGAGGCTCGGCGCTCTTTTCAAGTTGGAAAAAAAGGTAACCAAAAGGACAACAAAGGCCGAAATCCCTTTGAACAATACCCACTAGTTTGGCACGGTTTCCGTTTAGTTCCCCTTTTCAAACCCTCCCAGAGAGGTCGGCTCACCTTCTCCTTGCGGCTTTCCGCTTTGAGCTGTCAAAATTCGTCATCAGGAATTGGACTGCAGGGAAAAGTTCGCCAGTTTTTCCATTTGCCAGAGTCCCATTTTGGTTACCTACTTCTGACCCACACCCATATACTAAGAAAGAGCAGGTTTTCTGGGTTACATGTTGCATGGGGCGCCCGGTTTTTGACAGGTCTCGTTCCGAGCCTATTGACCGTGCCAGGGCAGTCACGTTGAGACCAACTTGCGAAGCAAGGCCGGGAAGGATCACGAGCGAGAGGTCTGACTCGTGGGTTTCCAGCTGAGCCGATTTATAGTGAGGTGTTCAACCGTTGACAACCGATCTTTGGTTTCAAGCGACCTTCAGATTTCAAGTCCTTGGCCGGACGGTTTTTGGGGTTTGGTCCAAAGGTCTTTCCAGGATGGCGGCTAGGTTTGGTCATGAGGCCTTTTGGTCAGATTGACATTTCTTGCCAGGGTATGGGAAATCATACATGGACCCTTGTCAATGGTGACACGGCTTCTTGCAGCCCGTGCGCCTGCAATCGATTTCTTGCACAAGTCTGCATGCAGGCGGTTGGAGGCATCAGGTAGCAAGGATAGGGCGGGGTGCGGTGGGGCGCATTGGGTTTTGTGCCCGTAGCGACGGCCCAAGTGGCAAAGAAGACAATCATGACTGCTTCTCATGGCCGTGGGATGAAGAGTGCGTGGCGCAAAAGGCGCTGACACGCACCCGTTGCGCCTCATAATGGTCAGTAGACCATCCGAGAACTGGCATACTTTTTGTTGGCTCCAAGAATCGATGGAACCTTAATCCCCCCATGTGGAGGTTTGTGTTGCTCCTCCTAGGGGCTGAAAATTCCAACCAACCAACCAACCAACCAACCAACCAGCCAGCCAGCCAGCCAGCCAGCCAGCCAGCCAGCCAGCCAGACAGACAGACAGACAGCCAGCCAACAACCACCCACCAGCCAGCCAGCCAGCCAACCGACCGACCAACCAACCAACCAACCAATCGTCTCTTTTGGTGGGGTTCGGCATTTTTGTTTGATGGCAGGATGGCAATTCCCGCCTCATCGTCGTGGAGGTTCCGGATGCCAAGAAGCGGCGGATTATCGATCGACTCGCCAGGCGCGAGGAGCCGTTTTTTGTTTGGAGGAGGGACACAGGTTTGAGCCATGGTCGATATTCACAACCATGTACTGTAGAAAGGAGGAGGACACTCGGCACACGCACCAAATTACCTGGGAAGGGGCTTACTCACCAATCTTTCCCACGGCTGGGAGGTCCACGCCGCCAGTTACGGCACCGATTCCGGCTGTGTTTGGCCTCCCACACGCGCCAGAGAAGCATGGCATCTCCGCGGTACGAAACCCGGCTTTCCCCCTCTCCAAAAAGTGTGGGTTTTCTTGCGTATGGCAAGTATAAGGACCCTCCAAAACGTGTGGGATTGGAGGCCATGAAACCCAAACTCAACCAGCAGAACCGTTTCATTGCAACAAGAATCGTCCAGATACGGATCTGTGATTTGCGAGGTGGCTAGGAATTTCAAGGGGGATCTTCCATAACTTCCCTGATGAACATGGAACCCATAAGATGGTCCAAGGAGGGTCTTCTGATGGAAGGAGGTTTCTACCATGCGATGTCCACAGGGTCCATCTCGAGGTATGTGGCGCAGGAGGGCTTCAATTTTGAGCAGCTCATCATGCAGCGTGAGTCGCCCGAGGCGGCCATTGGCTGGCGGCCGAGCTCCGAAACGAGCCGCGGTTGGACAACCGTAGCCATAGGAATGGCCGATTTCGGTATGGACAGGTATCTCTGCCATGGAAAGAGCTCCCAAAATGAACGGTTCCCTTTGGTTCCCGTGAAAAAACAACAACCGTTCCGAGTTTCCAAGCTGCCATTTTAGGAAAGACGACCCCATAGGTTGAGGAATTTGGGGTACATGGACACCCAATTTCCCGCAGTTCCCCATTGCCAGAACAGACTATTTTAACTGTGGTTCGCCTTGCCCGAGGCAAGACGAGAGTTAGAAGGGTGGCTGCTGTTAGTGTGTGCTGTTCTCTCCCGTCTGACATGGAAACCACCAGAGGTTGTCCCTTTCAGAGGCCCCAGACAGTTTCCATTACAGCGTGGATCAGATGCGGAGCCGGGCTGCTTTGGCATGTGTTAGCGCAGGGAATGTTCGACTTCCTTTTCCACCACGACTCACCGGACAACCTGTACTACAGATGGAGGACCCGACTCAATGCCGCCTTCGAAAGGAACCAAAGAAAGAGCCCCCGGTCAGGCTTGGGGACCAAATGCAAAGTGTGGGCAGGTGGTTAAACTACTCCCCTGCCAATTGACCTAGCAACCTACATGGCGGGTGCCCGCAAACTGCCTTGCACGAACTTGGCCGCCTGGTCCCAACCTTGCAGGATGTTCGCTTTCACCCAGCGCGACAACTTCAAGGCGGGCGTTTGGTTTTGCACGCCTCTGCGTTTCAGTGATGCCCATTCATGCAACAAGACTGCCCAGAGGTTGCCTAAACCCCTTGGCTAAACGATACCTAAAATCCAACTTCTGTGGTGACTCCTACAGCACATTTTTGACGATTAGTACCTTACGCACTAGCACGGGTTCGGCATTTGTTCTTGCATAACCCAACTAACAGGCACCAATCTCCTTTTCAGGCCCCCTTCAAAATGCTTCATTTTTGAATGGGGAACCCCTGAAAAGTGATTGGTGGACATAAAGCCCCACCGAAATGATGTCAAAAGGGTCCCTATTAAAATTCATACCCATTTCACCCAAGACGTCTGGGGATTGCTGTGCCAGCCTGTCTTTTGCCAGGTGTGGCGCACCCAGACCTTCCGCATTTGCGAAGGCCGGACACCCGAATCAGACGTCCCATCCAAATTGACAGCGCCTTTTTTGGGCAGAAGTGGTGATCTCAAGTCTCTTGTGGATCTGAGGGATTCTGTTTTCTCTAGTTGATTGCTTGGAAGAACTTTTTTTTGCAGCAGCCGAGTGGGAGAAGGCGCCAAAGCCCATGATTGTTGGAAACGGGTACTGAAACTTCCTCAGTTGAAACCTTTTGCAAAGATCTGGAGGAAAGAAATAAAGACCAAATCAAACAAACGACGGAGGGTGGGTTCCCAGTACCCCTGATCATAGACAGCTACAGGAATTTCTGCAGGACATTCGCCAAATGCCCACCAACACCTTGGAAACTCCCGTGTTCTTTTTTCTGATTGCTGGTTTTTTAGGAACATGGGAACCTTCAAAAAAAAGCAATCCATGGCTGGGTCAACTACAGTGACAAGTGAAATGCTCAACATGAAACAAGTTAGTGGGTTTCTTAGTTCGCGCGGGGCTGGGGAATTCTCACACCTTGCTTGGTTGGTTGTTTGATTGTTTGTTTGGCTGGTTGGTCGAATGCTTGTTTGGTTGGTTGGTCGTATGTTTATTTGTGTGGTTGTTTGTGTGTTTGTTTGATTGGTTGTTTTTTGTTTGTTTGGTTGGTTGTTTGTTTGTGTGTACGTGTGGGTAATTCCATGTGCGTGCACGCACCTCTCCCGTTTGCACCCCAGGAGGCCGGTGGTGGAGACCGCCGCCCTGCGAAGTGCCGGCGCCCAGAGTCGCGAGCCGTGAGCTCGATGCGACGCCCGGAGTAGAGGCGTCTGCGAGCCACGGCTCACCCCAACGGTCGGTGCGTAGGTCTCATGGTAGCGCCTCAAGCTTGAAAGCATTTACGGGAGCTGTTTGCTTTGGACATTGCAGGATCCAAGAGTTGCATGTTGCCACGCTCATGGCGCAGGTGCACATTTTGAAGACTTGTGAGTGCGCAATGGGTTTATGTGAGGCACGGTTCGGGGTTAAACCTGATTCAATTGTCAATCAACATGGGTAAGTCATTTTTAGGGAATCGGACCCCCTCCCCAAAAAAAGAGCAAGGATAAAACACCTAGTGCAACGGTTTTCCTTTTGGTTTCCCCTGAAAACCCACCCAAAAAAGGTGCCCTAAAAAGAGACAAGCCACCCACATAGTCGCCCTGCTTGATCGCGGCCTGCAGGGCGCACCAGCCGCTGAGGGGCTTTGCCTTGGCCTTGGCCTTGGCCTTGGCCTTGGCCTTGGCCTTGGGTGCGGCCTTGGGTGCGGCCTTTGGCGCGGCCTTGGCCATGGGCGTGGGCCTCTCGGACTCGCTGTCGCTTCTTCTTCATCTGCCTCGCTTTCGGTGCACGTCGTTGTCGCTGTCCTCGCCGAGCTCTTCGCGCGGCGCCTTGCAGACAGGAGAGCCCATCGTGGCGATGTAGCGCAGCAGGAAGTGGTGGTCGGCCAGCTTGAGAAGGTCGTCCAGCATGGCGCGGACGGCGTGGAACTTGCCGCTGCCCGCTCGTGGTGCGTGAGCCTCAGCCTCAGCTCCTCGGGTGGCACGTAGCCGCAGCGCCCGACAGCGACGTAGCAGGAAGAAGCCGCGACGGTCTGGCGCGCTGGCTGCTGCTGCGCTATGTGGACCGTCGGGGCGGGCGTGCTGTAGACCTCGAGGTCCGCGTAGCACGTCAGGGGCGGCCTTGCCCCTGTACCGCAGCAAGCTTTTCCAGGGCGCGGGCAGCGGCACTTTCCAGTGCGCTCGGCTATCTCTCGATAGCACTGGGTGGCGCGGTGGCGCTGCCACGAGGCCTTCTTGCCAAAGCGGGCCATGCACCTCGGGCACTTGTACTCCATGCAGCCGCCTGTGTTGGTGGGCGTGGTCCCAGGGTCAGCCCCTGTCTGCCGGCCAGCGCCTGGAAGTTGTGGATCAAGCTGAAGTGGCCGCTGCGCAGGAGAAGCAGCACGGTGTGCTGGACCGAGCAAGCCCAAACCAACTAGAGCAGGACGCTGTCAGAGTGCTCTTTTTGTTTTTTTCAAGCTATTTGAAGTATTGATCGCATAGACTTACAGATTCGAAAAGAGAGCAGGAGGCTGTGAGCGTGTGCTTGTTTTACATTTTGAGCGGAATTTTGAGTTGAACTATGTTTGAATAATGTGTACTTACATGTTAACTGATTTGTAAATAAGTTCGCTTGGGCAGACACCCTTTTGTAAATTTTGATTAAGCATAGAATACATTATAATCTAAACTTTAATATAACATGGACATTATTGTTGAATTATGTCCTATGTTTAACTCTAATTGATTGGTAAAATTCTATTGGGAAAGGAATTAGATCTGAATTCTAAAGTTGAAATACAATTTCCAAAAGGATTCTGCTAAAGTATTTCTTTATTGAGTTTCATTGAAATCCTTTTCAAACTCAAGTTGCCATTTAGAGAGCGGCCGTTGGTGGAGATGCGAATTGAGTACGAACAGCGCTACACAACACTCTGTGTTACGGTGTTTCTGACTATGGCAGTGCTGGGTCTACCAAAAAACACGATTTTGGGACCTCTGAATTCTTTTTTATAAACTCTACTTAGTATCTTCATCCAATTCTCCTCAACTTCTAACTGAAATTGAACAGAATTTATTTTGGAAAGACTCCAGCCATAATTTATATTTTTATTTATTTTTAACTAGAACTTAAATAGTGATCATTCCATTACAAACTAAATGTTACACAGGGTTGCCTTTCCAATATGTTTGTCTTTGCCAATCAGGCAGCATGTAAGCACGATTTATTCAACAGTTTTGGGACCTCTGAATTCTGCTTAATATGTGTCAAGTTCTACTTTCCTTCTAGCTAAAAACAATTCAGAATTGAATAAGGCAAGGCTACCATCAGAACTTCTATTCTAAATTAGATTTGAAATAATGATAGTTCCAAGATATTTCACTGGATTTCCTTTTCAATAAAATATTCCTTAAACATCAGTAAACACTTAAACTTCATTCAACAAGGTTGGGACCTGTGAGTTCTTCCCTTATGAATTATACTTAATACTTTTGTTTTGTCAAGTTGTCAAGTTCTACACAAAATCTAACTGAAAGTAGTAATAATTTTATAAGAACATCCAATGGATGTGTTTCCAAACAATGGTTGGCGGTCAAAATTGCTTTCACAAACATGGTCGTAAAGGTTTGCATGGATGCTTTTGGTTGTTTTAAGTCTTTCGTGCGTCCCTGAATTTGCGACCAACCCAGAATTGATGCCGTTTGCCACATTGCGTTTGCCACCATTTTTAGTGGCCCGGGTTTGCGACTTTGCTTCCATTTGCTTTTTTTTGCAAACAATCCCTGTTGGTTTGAAGAAACATGACGGCAGACCTGGCATATTTGCTATATGTCTCTTCAAGTGCTTGAACACATACGGGGAAGATCATCCATGCGAGTCCAACTGGCATACATGTGCAGCACGCAGCGTTCCACTGCCGCCTGGGCACAGTAGCATAGCATCACAACTTCTTCCCGGGCTCATCTTTCCCACGGGAACCTCGATGTGGCTGTGGGTCAAAACAGGTACTCAAAATGGAACCCTGGCAAATGGAAACTTGGACTACAAACTGCGGTCCCCTGGTGGTTTAATTTTGACCCACACCATGTATTGCCCATCCGAGGCGGCGATCCAAGCCGCGGAGAAGAAGCGGAAGTCCAAGTTTTCCTCGGATGCGGAGGCGGTTGGGCGCTGGGTGGCGTCTGTTGAGGCGAAAGGTAGCCCTACATCACCTTGATGCAAAGGGAAGCCCAAATCAAAAGGAATATTCTTTTTTCGGGTTTTCCCCTGAATTTTGACACATCCTCACATGGATAACGCTGTGAATAGCCGCTGATCATTCCCGCACGTGGATTGGATGTAGGGATGCTCCACTTAGGGACTTGTCAATTGGGGGTATTAACCACGGAATGGGGTGGTCAACTAAGTGGAATATGGTACTTCAATGTGCCTGGGAAGATAAAGGGACCCCTTGACGAGGATTCCTTGGTGACAAACGAAAGGAGGGCAAAGGCAAACCCTCAGAACTTAGAACTGTCACTTCCTGGCTCCTTGAAATGGGTCAAAAGTTAAAGGTAGAGCCGAGTAGTTCGATCCTGGCGAAGTCAGGTTTCCGTTTCAAGCCATTGCCATTGCCTTGCTCGACCTTTCCGCCCTTTGCGCCCTTTGCCCTTTTGATTGTCCTTCTTCCCTTTTGCCAGCAACAAGTGACCTTGTTGCAGGGGGTCTAAGTGGGTAAAACTGAGTGCCTCGCCACTTAACCTGGCCCAACAGGCGCGGACCATGGCCGGGCTGCCGTCTTCATGTGGGCAGGGTCAAAATCAGGGGCCATGGTCCCCGTATTCTGGGCAACTCCCATTTCCTACAACTTGTTCTCAAGTTACAGATCCCCAAAGGATGCTTGAAGGGGGTGCTCGGTCAAGGCTTGGTGCATCTGAGACATCTCTGCAAAGAGATTAAACTCCTTGTTGATCTATCTGCAATTGTTTTAAGGTAGAATCCCTTTTTATCTCAATCCCTGCTAACATGTTTAATCCTCTGGGAAGTTCATCACCATGAAGTTAGGTTTCCGTTTCAATCCATTGCATTGCCTGACCTTTTTCACCCATTTGCCCTAAGGGGAGGTTCTTCTTCCCTTTCTAGCAAGCTATCCTCCCTCCTAACATAGCACCTGCGGGAGGGTACCTGGAAGATCAATTTCCTCTTGAAGCGACCCTTCGTGAGGTGCTATGTTAGTTGGTGGGAGGGTACCTGTTTTGGGTTGACTGTTGAGGGGTGTTCTACTTGGAGCCCCCAGGTGGCTGTCGCCGCGCCCGGCGCGGCGCCCAACGCCGGCGCCGCGCCCTTCGGCGTGCCGGCGGTGCCCCAGCCACCACCGGCGCCCAACCCCGCCACCGCGGTCAAGGCGGCGCGAGGCGCAGACTGGTCGAACGCGTTGATCCGGCTGGTGAGCCACAATCAAAACCCGGCTAGATGAAGGTTAGTAAGGGATAATCCCAACCATAGTAAGGCACAATCTTTACATGGTTCTGGGTAGACCATTAAAATACCGGGTTTTGATTATGACTCTGGTGTGGTCCTTGGGATTCCAAAGACACTTACATGGCTGTGGGTCAAAACCAATGAGATCCCATTTTGGGGTAGGTGCACCACCCATTTTAGAACCTACACTGGAGGTACGGGATTTTGACCCATGGCTACATGGCTGTGAATGTTCATAGGGCTTTGGAGGCATGGGTGTGTGGCTTTTCTGGATGTACAAGGGCACACTGAACAAATTCCCATGTCACTGAGCGCAACGAGACAAGTGGGTTCACTGAGCCCTGATGTGGGTAGAGGGGGAAAAAGACTCTGGCCCGAGTTTTCCGTGCATTTTACGCAGGCGTCTGCATATTGATTGCCCTTTATGGCCTCTTCCGGAGGCTCCTCAAGGGGCCTCTGCAAATGGTGCAAAGGTTGGGACTGGTCATGACTCCTCCTTGCCCATCTCGCTTTTTCTGTGCACAGGCAACTCGGTGCTGCCTGCCAGCTGGACACAGGAAGACATTGAAGAGGCTCGGGGCAGGTGACTGAGCTTGTCCGAAAGCTGGAGATACCAAAAGCATGACCAAGAACCGCTGTAATGTTGGGGGGAGGGGTTTGAGTCGATCCACTACACGGCGATCCTGTTGCAGCACCGCGACAAGTCAAAGCATCATTAGGGTCGCGAAAGGAAAACTATCTACTTGTCAACCGCCAGTCATCTATGGCCACAAATTTGGCCAAGCGACAGCAGAGACTCGAGGAGCGCGAGCGTCAACGTCTGGAGGAGAGAGCAACGCAGGACCGACCAAGGGGCTGAGGTTGATGGCATTTCTTGGAGCTGATACCACCCCTTTTGGTGGTTTTAGAGGGAGGCCAAAAGGAACGCCCAGCATGTTGCGGGGTGGGAAGCCAAAAGGAACGCCCAGCATGTTGCGGGGTCCAACATGAAAGAAGACCAGCCGCCCGTTTGGCCGTTTCGTTTTTTCTTTTAGTTGCTCGGTTCCCTTGGCTTGGTTCCGCGTGAACTAAAACGAGGTGAGCTCGAGAACGGCGCGGGCTTCCCCTTTGAAGCAAGAATGGAACACCGCAATCCATCGAATCACGCACAAGGGCTAGATGGTCCTGAGTGTTTTTTTTTTTTTTTTTTTTTCTGAAACAAACCCAAGAACGGGGTAGCCTCAAAGACACACTCATGGCCTGGCTTCCAATAGCTTGCTCCAGGAGCGGCAGAAGCGCGACCGAAACCGGACCATGGCTGGAGGCTTGAACCTCAGGGCCAGCGCGCCAAATCGATTTCGATGGGAAACGAAAAGCCCCAGCTCAGTAGAGGGGGGGGTCCCCTCTTGGTGGGGAGTCATCACTTTTGGAACAAAAACACTTCGACTTAAGAAGTTGGAATTTTGGGGGAACAAAAACGACCCCCCCCCCCCGCTGCTCATGAATTGGCACTCCCCTTTTTTTGTAGGGCGGGTGATTTCCGGATCTGGGAGAAACATTCCCAAGTTCGGAATTCCGCCGTGGATCAATCCAATTGGGGGACCTCTCATTGGCTTTTTGTCCTTCGGAAGTTGACATTCTCTCTCGGGCAGTTGAAGGGCAGACACCCCCAGCCAGACGTTTTCGGGGGTGCGACCCAATGTCCTCATGAAAAGCACGTCAGAATTGGCTGGTGGACGTACTGTGGATGGTTTGCAAAATCCATTTCGCACCTCCGTTCAGAAACCCTGGAATGATTCCATTGCCCTGTGAATACCAACGAAGAATGGTTGGAAATGGTTTCAAAGTGGTGCAGGATTTCGTCCATCCACGGTAGCTCTTGAGAATGTCCAAAGGCTGCCCAATCAAAGTTCATCGATCTTCAAACTTCCGAGCCGTATGCGCAAAAAAGGTATACTCACAGGTTTCGGGTACCTGCTTTGTTTGCGTGGGTGTTCGGCCAGGCTGGCGAGTGGTTAGAACCTAGGACAGAGACTTGAAAAGTCCCGAGGCACCATCGTGTCGAACCACTTGCTATTCGCCATGGTTTTTCAAAGCAAGTGGATTTTGTTTAAGGCTGAAGACGAAGCGATTTTTTTGTTTGTTTTGATTACCCTGTACAACCACCTAGAAAAGGGAGCCACTCACATTGTTGCGGGCATCCTCCTATTGGCAATTTCAGTTTTCCGCCTCCGTCGCGCGCTTTTCGTTTTGACCGCCTCTTCGCGTGTGCGAAAATCCGAGGCAAGCGCCTGAGTGACGAGGACTGGAGCACGTTGGAGCAGCTGCTGCGGAACGTGTCCAGCGCCATGGCTGCGGATTGGTCAGAAGCCTCGAGGAGTTAGGGCGTGCCCCTGGAACAACCATTGCGTTTGTTCCATGGGGAAGACTTCGGAGTCTTGTTTGGACGTAGGGAAGCCAATTATTGGAAAACCCGCCATCTTCGGGAGCTTAGCTCTGAGACGAGCCCGGGCGGGCGAGGAGAGCCGGATCTTTCCTTTGGACGGTTTGTGCCCAATCCGGTCGTGGACCCCGGAACGGCTCTCTTAACGAGCTGAAATGACCAAACCGGCCGCCCAGTTTTGATCCAAAGGTCTACCTGTTTCTACTGGGTCTTTTGGGGAAGTGCCCCTTTCGCGTTCCAACCTCAGCACTGTTCAGGTGGGGGTTGTCACCCTTGGCGCCGAGTGTCAAAGGTGGGCAGCTTGGTTTTTGGATCCAATAACTTGGTGGTTCGATAGGCGGAGGGAATGACCCAACCATCCCCGATTTGGTTTCCTGCAAGGGAATCTCTGGGTTCATTCCCAACACCCTTGGTCATTCCTTACTGAGGAAGATAAAGAATCAGGAAAAGCAACACAACACATCGTGTGGCCGTCTCTCGTCCATCGCGCAGACTCAACGCTCGAGGCAATAGGGCTTCAATCCTGGAGACCATGGTCTTTTGCCTGGACAAGAGTGAGTGGGCGCCAAACTCAGAGCATCCGAAGCTTCAAGCAGTTTGTGTCTTTTGTGTTTTCCGACTTTGTTTTTGGTGTGTGTGTGTGTGTGTGTCTGTGTGTCTGTGTGTCTGTGTGTGTGTGTGCCTGTGTGTGTCTGTATCAAAGATAAAGTTCCCCTTTTGGGTCTGAATTGAAAACGGACAACAGGAAACAACGCAATTGTCCGCTGGAAGGAAGGGCCCAGGAGCAGCTTGGGAATGTGGCCCCCTTTTTCATTAATACTGTGGATGGACAAAATCTCGCACCAGTCGGTAAGCGGTTTGTTCTGTTATTCAAAGGCTTCCATCCCAGCTGGTGCAGGATTTTGTCCATCCACAGCGCCGAGGGAGCCTTTTAACAGTGACAACACACTCACCCGTTGGAATCCTGCTTTGGTATCAAAGGAAGGTTTTTTTCTTCTTTTTTTCCCACAACCCTGGTTATTTTCCATGTTGTACAACAACGCTCTCATGTTGCTTGGCCCATCCACTCGGGAAGCGAGGTCCCATGTCAGATTGTTTACCCGGATTCCAAAGTTTAAACTTGATCCCGGCAATCTTTTCCCTCACTGTTTGTCCTTACAAACACAACACCTCACACACACACAGACTTAGACTCCCAAGCGTGTGTGGCCCCAAAAAAAAAGATTGGTGTCCAAGAATGGCTTGCCCTGGATGCAAAGCTAGACTGAGACCTGCGGTTTGCCCAGCGGATAAATATTTCCACCCACGGAAACCGGAGGCCGGCGCAAACTTTCTAGCCATACCCTTGAGGCCATCGAGATTACGGAGACGGTCACCGAGTCTCTCACCATTGCCCGGGCACCTAAAAAGGGCAGCGCACCTTGAAACCCAACCGAAAAACCGAAAGCTCCTGGCGTCAAGCAACAGATGTTGCAATACTGGCCAGCTCTCATTCCCTTCTCCAATGTTTCAATGCGGTTCTTTTAGTTTCTGTTATACCAAAGACTCCAAAGACTCCGCTTTTTGCTTTGATCTTCAATGATGAATGGCGGTGGTGAGGGCAAACTTGGGGAAGCAAATCACGCAGAAAATGGTCTACAAATTCTGCGGTGTGGTTTTAGACTGTTGCAATGCTCCAAGTGCGCAGCACCCCACACAGAGCTTTCCAGCCCAACAAAACATCCGCCCGAGCCAGCTCATTAGCCTGTTTCCAACCAAATGGTAGTTGAAGTTCAGTAGAGAGTCCGAACCAGACATGGGTGTGGACAAAGAGCCAAACACAACAACGTCAAAACGGACAGTTCGGATTTGGGGATCATGCTCCAGATGCAAGAAGCAAGCCGGAGTCTGGAGCCATTTGGCTCTCTAAGGCGGAGACCGAGATCCCGCTCAAGATGGCCAGGCAGATTTGTCCCCATTGCTAGGCTTAGTTTTGTATTTTTTTGCCTTTTAGTTCTCATTTTCTTCGCTTTTAACTCCTGTAGTGACTTAGAACTCTTCAATTTCACCCTTTTTGTGGTTGTTTTGCGCATCTTAGAAGGCACTCATATTTTTTAAGGGCGTAGCAAGATCTCCTTCGTAGATTCTCCAACGAGCATCTCCGAAAGGTCCCTGATAGGACTTTGGCAAAAGCTCTTCAGTGGAAGATAGTATGCGAACTAGAAGCTTTCCTGCAGTCCTTTCCCACTATAGAAAACTCTGTGCGGCCTATATAGAAGGTCCTGTGCAGGACTCTTGCGAGGATATCTTCAGACGGTGTTGGCAAGGTCCTGCGCCAGATTGGTGCAGGATCTCCAGCAAGGATCAGTGCACAGCGTCTCTTGGAGGGTTTTTGTGCGGAAAACTCATGCGCGACAGGTCTTAGAGAGGATCCACGTGGAGATCTTGCGGAGGATCTCTTGAACAATGCGCAAGATCCATTCAACGCGCCCAACGTCCACAGATGATTTCATCTCCATGCTGGAATATCCCTCCGCGCTGCGAGAGCAAATCAACACCTCTAGAATCTGCACAGGCTTCTTGTCCCACCGTGTCGCAACGAGAGAGATCCAACCAACGCGAAGTCCGCAGCGCAGAGGGTTGATTTCCATCTGACAAGAGCGATACAACACGCCCAAAGTCTGCAGAGGGTTGATTTCGACATTGAAAGTTCGCACCGCGAGGCAACGAGAGCGATCCAACGCGCCCACAGAGGGTGCGCCAATCCACCATTCCTAGAATTCGCGCGACGCCGCGGCGAGAACGTCGTTGGGAAACCAAGGTCTCCTGGCCAACCGTTTCGTGCGAGCCTGCGCAGTCGAAAATCAGCATCAAAGATTCCAAAGAGAACTTTTGTGCTTGCCTGCCCAGTCAAAGTATGCGAGACGTACAATCTAAACACCAAGCCTTACTATGTCTGTTAGAGCCCCTTAGTGTATTCACACTGTTTGGGGAAAACACATGCCCAGTTTGAGCCCAGCGGTCAGGCTGATGATTGTCAGTGACATCCTTCACAACACCACCAGCTCACGCCCAGCGGCGTGGGCGTGCGCCGTTTGACTTGGGGTATGTCCAGCGGCAGGTTCCTTCAGTGAATTGCAGGCAAAACGGTGTAAGCGCAAGTGGCGACTCGGCTGGCCATTTTCTATAGCCGGACATCCAAATATGGAAAGAGGTTCTCACTATGAACTATGCGGCTGAGGTGGCCCATGTTTCGTAGACCTATTAATTGGGGCCCTCCTTTTCATGGGAACACATGTCGCGAGAGGTACAGGAGAGAGTTCGAGAAGTCCTTGCCGGACATTTTCGAGCAGTTCGAAGTCGGCAGCTGCCTTGGAAGCTCGGGTTAGTTTCTCTTTGAAGAGCTTGCCTCACTCTACTAATGTGGGGTTTTTGTTCTTTGTGCAAATCCGGAGTTGTTCGCATGCCAAGGAGGAAAGACATGTTGTTCCCGTACCAAACTCCCCAATTGGGGAAAAGGTGTACCAGGCCTTCTCACCAAAGGCTGGCCTTCCGCTGGAAAGACGTGCAGCGCTTTTGCCCCGCTCGAGGCCTGCACCGCTCCGAGAGCAAGCTGCAGGCGTCCCAGGCCAAGGAGCAGGCGGGAGCTGTGCGCCTTCTGAGACAACGAGCAACCTCGGGAGCGAGCCGCTCGTGTTCCGGTGGGTTTCTCAGCATGGGTGTGGCTCAAAAGGAAAGAGCTGGGGTTACGCAGGTTTTTGGTCCGTGGGTTCCTTTTTGCCAAGGTGTTTGGTACATGTTTTGAGCCGTGGTTTTCAAGGCCGAAAGGCATATAAACGAAGGAGGAACAAGTGATTGTTGAGGTCTACAAAACCCCCTGTTTATTGGTGAGACTCTGAAATCCCACTTTTTCAGCAAAAGTGGACAGTGAGGTTTCCCAAAAGAGCAGTTGTCTTAGACCTTCCGATCATCAGCTGTGTTGGAGGGTAAATGGCCCACCCACCCAAAGGCCGAAGGATTTGAAAACCAACAGATCTTTGTTGGTTGATTCTTGAGTATAGCTTTGGCGTGTGGGACGTGCCTACAATTATGTGTTTGTTTGGCTCCCAGGGCACCAAAGGTGTTGAGTGAGACCTGCAGAGATTCAGCGAAGAAAAATGGATGGGGGGGCGGGGGGGGGGGCTGAATTTGGTTGGTTCTTTCAGGGATACAATGGCAGCACATTTCTGTCAACATCTTTTCGTAGCCCGGCACAACCTGATGCATGAGGGATGGTCAAGAGCTTATCTTTGACCATGCAGCCCTGTTTGGTACGACAGATTTCGGGTTATTTTCCACAAACATGGGCCGTGGGCTGGTTGGGAGAGAATTGTCAGAGCTGGTTTGAACCTCCCGACAAAAAGTTGAAGGCAGCTATACAAAAGGCAGCAAAAGGTTAGTGAGTCTTATTTTGTTTGTTTTTTTTCCTGGGAGAAGAAGGGTGGATGGGGTGTTACCACAAACCGGGAGGGACACCAAAATTGTCCATGGCATTTTGGGGAGCACGTAGTATTGTCCATGGCAAAAGGCGTGGCAAGGCTTAACATCTGAACACAGAGCATACTCTCTGGAATCCTATGCCATAAGGAGCCACAAGTCTGAATTGCAGCTTGCAATAAGAAACTTCTAAGCACCTTTGCACATGCTTATGCGATATGTGGCAGCCTTTACTGTCATCTTACTGAAGCATGCTGTGCAACCAGCCACTTCTCATTTTCAAGCTCACGCTGGATGCTGCCATTGGGACAGGCGGACAGGGGTGGCCATGCAAATCCCAATGTTCCCACCACCCTTTCTTCTTTTCTCAGTTGTTTCCGCGCACGAGGCAAACGCAGGGGTCCCTTGCAGCTGTGTGCTTCGTAGGATAAAAGATGGTCAATTGTGGTGAAGCATAGGACCCCCATGGTTTGTTTCCTTAGGTTTCGCCAGAAAAGCACGAACCGCAACAAATAGAAAGGACAACAGCAAGACAAGAAGATGATGTCATAAGTGGTCTTGCCATTTGCACCATTTGGGGCTGGTGTTCATGCCAGATTGCCCGCCTGCTGAAGATCTGGGAGGACCTGCGTTGCTGCCTGCGTGCCATTCTGGGCCATGTGTGAGGAATGGGGAGTTGGTCATGCTGTGGATGGTTGCGAAATCCGTTCGCACCACGAACTGGTTAAGGCTGGTTGCGAACGGACTCGTCCAGCCTCAGTATTTCATGTTCAGATGCCCGTTGCACGGACCAATATGAAACAGGCCCCTCAGTCAGGTCAATATGACCCCGAGGAACCCCGGAAGCGGGTGGCGTCCGTTCGGTTTCCCTGTCTGTCAAATTCCTGCGTAATACAGCCCTATTTTAAGGCATAGAGTTCTATTCAGTTTCGGTCAAGCATGCAGCCTGCAACTGCTGTCAATTTTAGTTTCAGGACATGGGGGGACGCCGAATTCCCCCACCAAAGCCACGTACATATTTGATGGCTCAAAGTAATTCGGGGAGCTGCCATGATGGGCCCTCCTCTTTTTTCCCCCTCAAAGTGTGCCTCCGGCGCCAGCAAAAAGAGACCTGTGACTTCTATGGCTCACAGGCCTCACAGAACAGGCCTGTGCCAGCAGCCTATGGGGTGGCAGCCTATGGGGTGGCAGCAAGGGGAGGTTGGCACATGGACAAACCCGTATTGGTTCGGTTCACATGCAGTAGTTGATGGGCCATTCAGGGAAAGCAAGTTTCTTTTTTCGAGCTTTCGGTTGCTTTGTCTTTTCGATGTTCTTTTAGTCTACTGACTACTTCTTCTTTTGGGCTTCCCTCTTTTTGGGTCAATTTTTGGGCTCCCCCTTTCCCCCTTTTTGGGGCGGCAAGCAACAAACATCCGTCGGGTACGAACCGCCAGGACTGGGGCCTCTTCGCACCGCAGTACCTTCGTGGCCTGGAGGTCGGAAGTGGGTTCGTCTCCTTGAGAGCGGTTTTGGCCTATGGTTTCGGGCCCGGATTCGTTTGTTTTGCAGGCCTGCTGTTTTGTGTTTGGGTTTACTGGGTTCCCTGGTCCTTGCTCGTTTGGATTGGTTCAGTTTGCTTCTCGGTTTCCTTATCCTGTGTCGGTCGTTTGTGCTATGTGTCAAGCTAGTTGGATCATCTATGAGAACACACCACAACCGGTTTGAGGGGTCCAACCGGTTTTGATGCAAGCGCGCTCCCGTCAACTCGGCTAGCTCCTTATTAGTGGTTGGAAAGGTGGTTTGAGGATTTGGACCCTGGCTCCTTTTGAAACCAAGTGGGGAGGCACCCCCTCACAAGCAGACTCTTTTTCTCCGCCCTTTTGATTCCTCACTGATTTTGGGACACCCCTTTAAGACTCTTTTTTTAAGACTCACCTCGTCATAGGGTCCCTAAGATGCAGCCTGAGGGAAGGTACCTGGTTTGGACCAGTTTCTTGTTCAACGGAGTTCAACAGAGGGGTTAGAGCGGAATTTTGTGTCAAAGTTTGCGCTGGCAAGCTGATACTTGAATGACACTCCGAGCAGCTGCTGTTGGATGCCGGGATTTCGCGCGGGTAATGGGGTGTTTGGCAACTTTAGTAGTACGTTCCTGGTAATGTGGGCAAACGGAGTGGGCTATAAACGGTGGCTGACTACCAACTGAGCTGGCCGAGCATCCAAGCAAGGTTCATAGGTGTCCTTTTTGGTTGTTTTGGTTGAAAAATAGATGGCCCTGTTTTGTGGTTGAATCATCTACCAGGGAAATCCATCTATTTGCCCTAAAAGGACACCTAAGCTTCCTAAGTTGTGAGGAAGGGATTGTCTGCCGAATAGGCTGCCATCGTGATTGGCGTGCGGCGGCTGAGGCGCTTTTGGTGGTTGCCCGATGTTTTTTTTCGATTTGGCTGTGGCTCACAATCAAACAGGAGGGGTTATGCGGGATTTGGTCCATGTTTCCACTTACCAGGGTTCCATTTTGGTACGGGGTTTTTGAGCCACAGACATTTGACCAGTCCGCGGATGGTTTAGTTGGCTGTGGGTCAACAATGGTACCCAAAATGGGTTGCCCTGGTACATAGAACCAATGACTAAAACCTGCGGTCCCCTGGTTGTTTAATTTTGACCCCTACCCAGTTGAGGGCCAAAGCCGACACGTTTTTCATTGCCGGACTTACGGCAACTCACCCTTTTTGCACTTTTGCACTTTGGCCCTTTTGCCGGCTCCCTGAGTTTCTGGACTTTAATTTGGGATGAACCTTTTAGTGGCTTCAGTGGCAACGAAACAGGTTGGACATCTTTGGCCAATCCACTCAGGAATAAGTAGGGACCTGTGTAAGAAGGAGATCGCCTACAGCTCCGCCAACAGACTTCTCAACCAGCCGAAAGCTACTAATGTGCACGGGGGCTATGTCAGGCCAAGTTTTATGCGCGACGATGTGTAATGTGGGGACTAGGTGTGTTTTCCAAGTTGTGCTTTGGAGGTCGGTGAGGCAGAGCCAGACTTGCTCAGCAAAGACTTGGCAAGGTTGCCAGTGCTTGAGTGACGCTTCGTCATGAGTAAGGGGTTCGACCCCTTGGTCACCCCAATCAATAGCCGCACAAAATGTCAGCTTTCCGGGAAGGGGCCTACAATGTACGACAGCCCTGCCACCAAGGTGTTCCCAAAATGCTGGGTTTCGTTTTGGTGTCTCTGTTTTGGCCTGACATGTTGTATCAAAGAAGGGACCCTTTCAAAGTTGCATTGGCAGGGTCCAGAGGTCTAAGATGAAAATCACCAGTGTACACCCTTGATATAGTGGCTTTTTGGTGGCTGTATGGCTAATGTTGACCCCGGATTGATAAACCCGTTCTACTCCCCTCTAAAAATAATGACACTAAACTAAGCCCCTATGAAGAAGCTGAGGTTGCCGGATTGATAAACCCGTCCTACTCCCCTCTAAAAGTAATGACACTAAACCAAGGAGCACCCCCTATGAATAAGCTGAGGTTGATTCAATTGGGCTGAAAATTTCGACATGCCGTGCGCATGTTCGGCTTGCAGGGCGCTGGCCGGCAAGGGCGATTCGTCCCGAGAGCCCAACTGGCGGCTGGGCGAAAGATTTCGGCATCCGGTTCACAGAGGCTGCGTAGGTCTTGGGCTGGACCAATTTGGTTCACTAAATTAAATTTAGGGGTGGATAAATTAGGTGTGCGTAGGTTTTGGGGTGGTCATTAATTTTGTAGGTGTTTACAAAATCGGCCAGGACAAATTTGGTTCACTCGGGAGCGCCGCGCCAAAGCGCGGCGTGCGAGTCGTGCCTCTCTCAGGCTGGAGCCCAAGCTTGCGGACTGGCGGCGGCACCACTTCTCGCAGGCGGAGCCACAAAGGAAGCCAAGCGTTGGGGTATGGTGGACCTCTCTGGTGTGCCTTTTCGAAATCAACATGAGGCATGTGCTTTCTTTTTGGCCGGGGGGAGGGGGGGTCCCTCTGTTCTGGTGTGTTGCTATCATGAAACTGGGGTACAATCCCACACCACAGGTACATGCCCATAGGTACATGGTATCCGCGTCGATGAGGGGTAGTCGGGGATGTTCGGCTTCCCGCCTTTTGATCGATCTGAAGATGTGGACATTTCCTGTCGCGCAGCTGCGAGGCGAGACCCTTCCATGACATCTTGGGTGTATTCTCGCAGTCACATATTTCATTGAATTTCCATATGAGTGAAACAAAACAACAAACACCACCCATGCCGCATTGGGTCCCTTGTTGGTGGGTTTACCCGTTACCTCTTGGGCCAATAGTTGCGGCTTTCCCTTGGGATCGGTGATGTGTTGGGTTGGACATATTCGGGAACCCTGTGGAGCGAGCCTCCGGCCTTGAAATGTCCAGTCTGTGGTCCATTTGGCCATGAATTTTAATGGAGACACCCTACATATTAATATGATGTTCACAGGTTTCCAAGTTTGCAATTTCCAGTCTATGGTTCTGAGGTTTGAGACAAGAAAGGGGGGTCGAGCCCCAACTTTTTTCTGGGCGTGTGGGTTTTTGGGGGATCCCCCCAAAATGATTTTTCCCTGGTGGTTTTCCGTGAAGACCGCCAAAAAAGGGGGGTTACCCCAACAAACACGTCGAACAAAACACACCTCTGTGCTGTTGGGGACACGCCTCCACGCAAGTTTTCGGACGGCCCAGTTGGAGAAGATGTGCCGCACTCGTGGCCTGCGGTGCTCGACCTCGCACCTGGAGCCCACCAAGCAGCCGGGAGTCTCGGAGCTCGGAGTCGAGTGGTCGGGACCGGGAGGGAGGTTTGGACGGGTCCGCCGGGGAGGTTTGGAGGTTTGCAGGTTTGGGGCGTGCCCCAGGCATTTCATTCGGTTCCCCTTCCTTTCGGCTTCCGTACGGTCGCGTTTAGAACCGGGCCGCAAGGCTTGGCACGCTAGGCATGGGTTCTTGTTTTGAGAACCCACTTAGCGCATCGACCGAATCTCACCTTTTGGTCCAGTTTTTTTTTTTTGTCATGACAAGAGAATCCTCAGGTGCCTTGGGGGTTTTAGATGTTTTTTAGTGGTTGAGTGGTTGGGTTTCCATTTAAGCCACTACACGTTAAACTTTAGCAGGGGGCCCAGTTTGGAGGCCCGGGATGCCCGGTCTTTTCCAGGTTTGCTTGAAGGCAACCGAAAGGAAAGCCACCACTGAAAGTCGGGGATATGGTGTAGCAGACCGAAGCTATGTTGAGGTTCGGTCAACATCTCCAGTCTATGGTCCAGCTGTTCGGGGCATGCGCTTTTTTTTAAAAACCAGGGGGCTCGCTACTTTACACCCATATCATGGGTTTTTTCAAGTCTTGACACTAGCTCAAATGCGAACGGACATTTGGTGCTTGGAAGCTCCTCCCAAATAGTCGGTTGCAGAAATCACGCGTGTCCACCAAAGGGGCCAACCAATTCAGACTCATCCCTCAAACCAGACACACCCGGTGGGGACTTGGCGCTCGCATGGTTGGCACTCGGTTGCCTTCCAGAAGGCGGGGTGTTTCTCAAAGGGTGAGCGATGGTGGCCTCCCTTTTGGTTTTTCCTGTGGCTGTGGCTCAAAAGCATGTACTAAAATGGCACCTTGGCAAATGGAACCAAAGACTAAAACCTGCGTAACCCTGGCTCTTAAATTTTGAGCCACACCCCTGTCATTACCAACCAGGGCTCCGAATTTCCCATGTTGAGAAACTCGCATCTGATCTGCGAACCTACTAACTGCCACGTCAGTGCCCCGTATCATGCGGCTTGCAACGATCATAGTTGAGCAGAAAGGTGCTTCTTCAAGAAGTGAACATCATATGCCTCCGATTCTAAATTGGTTTAAACACCTGAACCCTGGTTTCCCTTGAGAAACCAAAAGGAGGTTGTTTAGCCTTTTCACAAGGGCAGGTTGTTTGAACAAGGGCAGATTTCAACATTTGGGGGGTGTCTTTTTGAAGTGCTGGTTCTCCCGTTGCTTTCCCATATAAAGCCACACAAAAAAGGGTGGTACCTTCAGAAAACGACACTTTTTCCACTAAAGGGTGCCTTTAAAACCAGGGCTTTGGCCAACCATTTTTCTCTGATTTCCCCTTTAAAGCCAAAAGGGTGGTACCTTCCAGAAACGACCCACCTATCTGCTTTCACTACATCGGCCACAGCCCCGTCTCTGAGGCTCAGCTTGGAGGAGGCGCGCAAGGAGTGGCTCATCGATCGCTTGGCCCGGGGACCCGAACGTCCCTAACGCCCGTCCTCTCAGGGCTCTCGGTGCTCAGGTGGTGTTTGAAAGTCGGAGGGAACTGAAACAGAAGCCACATGGGCCATTAATTTTAACTCTAGGTATGTGTTGGTGGACTTCATGTTGGGGATTTGTGTCCAACCGATTGTTGGGAGGGTGTTCCCTATTAAAAATCATAGCCAAATGGGTCCTTGTTGTTTCTCGATTTTCCTTGAAACCAAGAAGCCCGCAAGTCTCCAGTTGGAGTTATGTCTTGATATGTTGTAGTCGCGGGGTATGTGGGGCTACTTGAAGTTTTCTCTCCAAATGCACATGGCACCAAAAAAAGAGAAGGGTCTTTCACAAGGAACTCCTTCAAACATGTTGGCTGTTTGTGTTCCATGTTAATCTGCAGGGAAGTCCTTGATTTTTGCCATCCCTCCGAAGCCATCATTTTGACCCCTGACCACCCTCAAGTTGACAAACAGGGGGATCCGTTTTGGCTCCTTCACAACTGGGGCCGGTATTGACTGGTTGGCAGAAAGGGGAGTGCACCTGTGTATCCCAGGGTTTGCTCGATTTCCCTTTTTGGGTTACCTCCAACAAGCCACCCATCAATGGATCCACCTTGGGGGTACTCCAACCCCTTCCTTCCTGTGGGCCTAGGTCACATACGAGCTTTTGTCGCATGAGAAGGAGCAGGCATTGGGATGGGATGCCTGCGGCATGAGAACATCAATTGGGAAAGCCGACAGTGCCGTGGGTTTGCATGTTCTTTGCTGGTGCGAGAGATGCAGGGAATCAGAAATGGAATGCTCCCAGCCATCCAACTGGTGGTTTCCTTTAAGGGGACCCTGGGTTGATTCCCAACGCCCGGAACAGTCATTCCCTACTGAGCGCCAGCAAGCTGTGTTTCCCTTCTGAACGAAGCCAGCAAAAGCAAGGGTATCAGACAAGACACCCACGCGCGGAGCACTTGGCAGCCACGGTGGAAATGCCTGGACGAAACTGGTTCTGCGCACATGGAACATGCAACTTGTATCCCAAAATCACCAGAGCGGCCTTGGCCGCCATTATGCTTCATTCATGATTCAAGCACGGAAAGACACCTAAACATAAGCGCACACGCCCACAAACACGCTCGCAAAGCAAAGTAGCACCAGCCACTTCCCCACTGAAAACACCACTTCCCTGGCTTCAGATTCCGGAAGGTTTCGAGTCGAGCGCTTCTTTTCGCCAGGCTCGACAGCAGCTGGCCAAAGAAGAAGCCGCGCAGAAGTTGTCCAGGCCAGGAGCCCTCGTTCAGACGCTTGGAGTTCGGAAATTGCTGTTACTGATGGACACCATCCGCTTGCCAAGAGCCCAGTTTGTAGGTGGATTGTGTGAGTATTTAGAGTGCTTCACCAATACCAATTTGTTCACCCACAAGTCTGGAAGACGACGATTTGGGGCTGGCTCAAAATTAAACAGGAGGGTTTTGGTGCATGTTTTCACTTACCAGGCGTCCATTTTGGTACCGGTTTCTTGAGCCACAGCCATTTGGCTGCGCTTCTTGTGGATTTCACCTGTTCTTCCCTGGCACTCGTTTCCCGTCCGGAAAAGCTTTGTAACATGAAACCTTGCCTTTGGGGAGAGGGTATCCTCCCAGGAACTCACATGGGGAAGATGATTCAACAGTAGCGCTCGATTCCTTGCTTTGGGCTCAGAAGGTAACAGGGCCCTGCTGTCGGAGAGATGGCCCTGGAATATTATATGCCACGGCCGACTCAAAACTGGGGGGGGTGGGGGGTGGGGGGTACACTTTTACACTTTTTGTTTCTTCTTTTTTACCAGGGTGATGGCAGGGGTCCCCAGCTTGGAGTATGTGGTTGCCTGATGTGCAGGGTTGCTGATGTAGAGAAGCGAACCTGACTACCTACTATACCACTGACTAATATGGAACCCATCAGACTAATATATGAACCCATCAGATGGTTTGCTTTGGAACGCCCACTCCGGTTTCACGGCAACGTGGGTTTGAGGGTAATGCCTTCGTTGCGAGTGTCAACTTCTCAACGACGCTTTCGCAGGCGCAAAAGCAGATATGCCATGGAGGACATTGACGGAGAGGCCGGTCGCATGGAGGCTGTCGCGGGGGTGCTTGCTCGTGGATGTGGGGGTTCACCAACCTCGGGCATGACAAGCGATTCGCATCTTTTCTAACATGGCCGTGGGTCAAAAGCCCGTACCCCCAGTGAACATCCCAATCCCCACTAAAATATACTAAAATGGGTGGTGCACCTACCCCAAAATGGTATCGGTTTTGACCCACAGCCACATGGATATTCAGAATCAAGCGTTGGATCTTGGAACAAGCCCCGCAGCTGCCCATGAGCATGGGAAGTAATTGGCTGATCAGCAGAAGACCTGCTTGCTTGAGGTTAGAGGTGTTTGCACTTTGTAGGGCACGTCTCCAAGTCTATAGTTTCCTCTTACCGATATCTTTCAACACGGAGATTCACCCCTCCAGATTTCGCCGAAGTCCCAAGCCACTTCTTTGGCGTGACTGCCTGACCCTTCCGAGAAGCAGCCACCCGGCCGCACGGTTCGCTTCGTTTCATCGCCACATCGCCCGGCCGCGTGCGCTCGCGTCCGCTCGCGTCCGCGTGCGTGGTGGTTGCGATGTGAGGACTGCATCGATGGGGTGCCAATGTCGGAGAGCGACTTGGAGGGCGAGCCCCTGGAGCTGGTCACCCCAGGCCCGGAGATCGGTCGGAGCTCCGTCGGAGCTCGGTCGGAGCTCGGGGAGGCAGTGAGGCAGTGGCCGGGCCAGTGGGTTTGGGCGACTTTTCTCAGCCCGGGCAAGCTCCCTGGAAAAATTGGGGTCGACTTCTTTTCGCCAGGCTTGGAGTTCTTTGAAGCTACGCCCGCGCTCTTCTTTTTTTTGGGCCCATCCAACAAGGAGGGGGTTCCAAGTTTTATCTTCTGGTTCGATGAGCCCAGGTGACGTCTACAGTGCGGTGGAGCTTGCGCAGCAAGCCCCCGAGGACGGATTCCTCGGAGGGAGGTGGTGGATCTTTGGGTCGTGGTGGAGGTCGACGGCCCAGGAAAGACGTCTTGCTTTTAGTGGCTTTCGGTTTGGGCGGTCTCATCTGTAGGGGGTTTGTTGATCTTTTCTGGCGTACTCATGCAGAGCTGAATTGGCGGCCCTGCCGGTGAAATGGATCTTCAGGCGTTTCAAGGGACCAGCAGCACATGCGTTTGGGCGGTGTCCTAGTCCTTGCATCACAGTGAGCCCCCTCCCCCCCCTCCCCCAATTAGCACGCTACCCCGGATTGCTCAACAATTCACATGATTCGGGTGTTTCTCCAATTGATCCGTTCCAAGTGGACACAAGGAGACCAACCACCCGAAGGGGCCTGAAGTTTGAGACATATCCATTCGGCGCCGATGGATCCAGGAGCAGGCCGGTTACCTGGGCACAATTGCAGCCCGTGCCGTGCGAGAGCCCAGGGGGAGAATGTGAGGGAGAGGGAGAGGTTGAGGGAGAGAGAGAAGGAAAGAGGGAGAGGGACAGAGACAGAGATAGACAGAGATAGAGAGAGAGATAGACAGATATAGAGAGAGAGAGAGAGAGAAAGAGAGAGAGAGAAAGAGAAAGAGAGGGAGAGAAAGAGAACGATATGAGAGTGAGAGAGAGAGTGAGAGTGCGAGAGAGAGAGAGAGTGAGAGTGAGAGCGAGAGTGAGGGAGACAGTGAGAGTGAGAGGCGACGGGCAGCTGTTTGCCACCGTAGGGACTCGGCTGAGAGGTTTTGGAAAAGGCATTTTTTTTTTTCAATGGAGCCGCCTTTGTTGGCTAGTTGGCAACCCGCTTTAGGTGCAGGTCGTTTGCCGCTTGTGGCAAATGGCTCCAGATCGAAATCGACCTGTTGCCTGAGCCCTGAGGTCCTTGGCAGCGTCATGAACCCTGGCCCTGCGGCAGCTGCGGCCGAGGAGGCTGACAAAAGTGGCTTGGGTTTCCTCTCCAGAACGGGTGGCCGGCAAACTTCATTAACTTATGGCGTCTTTTCCGGATTTGGGGGGGATATCTTTGTCTCATTTTTGGACTTGAACATGGGACTGAACCATATCTCGGCAGTAAAATAATTTGAGCGCAGACCAATATTTGCTCGAATCCGCCCTCTGGATTCTGTGCATGTTTTTGGGTAGACCCATTTCACTCATCCCGCAGCATTTTCGCGGTGGCAGCGCGGCAGGTGGTGAGCGTCATCAGCACGGAGGCCTCAGATTTCTGGGGAATTGCCATGGCGTGTTCCAATTAAAGCCGATTGTCTTTGTAGGTTGGTAATTTTGGGGGACCGCAGGTGCTCGCCCATGTTCCCTTTTGCCAGGTTGCCATTTGGGTACCTATTTTCGATTCTGTGAAAGGCTTCCCCCAAGCCAAGACGTTGGAAAGCCAAGGAGTCTTCATCCAAAGTGGGGAAAAACTCTTACAAACATTCCGGAACAGACACGGGTTGCAGTTGTTCGGCGATCCCAGGCCTTGCCTGGACTGGACCATTTCGGGGATTCGGAGTTCCTGAGAGGAACTTTCAAACGCATATCTTTGGGAGTACTCAAGGTTGGGTATGGGAGCTTTGCAGGACACGTTTCCCACGTTTGTGAAATGTAGTTTCTGTGTCTGAGTTCTTCATGGGTTGAACACCCTCAACCGTGGTTGGACAAGCCCCAACCAAAACCCGGGGCTTTCAGAAGATATCTAAGATACCCAAAACGATGTGAGGCATTATTAGTAGCTGGTTGTAGTTGGTTATGAATCCAGTATGATTTTAAGTAGAGGAAACATGATTTAGGCTGGGATTCACGTACACCACTCTTACGGTGGTTCCAACTGCTAAGATTCATAGCCATTTGGGGACGATCCTAGACGTACATTCTATTTTTGGCAGGGATCCGCATCTCTTCAAACGGTTGGCAATCCCCTAAAATGGGCGAAGAGTGAAAAGAACAGGGGGCTTCAACTCTTTTGGACCCCGTGCGCTGTTCTTGAAAAGGCAAGAGAACACTGCGCGTATTTCGGGTGCACCCTCGTTCTATAATGGATGCAATGCTCCATTATTCGCCCTTTGGTGGGCAGGAGCGCCCAGGGGCCGGGTCTGTTTCCAACCAGGGTTGACTCCCCAACAATTCAAAGCGAGTGTTCAGACACAGGAGCCACACGCAACTTGCAAACGTGGTGGGAAACGCGCTCTGCAAAGCTCCCATACCCAACCTTGAGTACCCAAAATACGAGCTGCATCTCTCACGTCCTTTTCCGGATTTCGATACTGCGGATGGACGCGAAATCCATTTCGCACCACTTTGAACCCATGGTTGAAACCCTTGTTTTTGCCGGTCTTTGCAGGGGAAATGGATCTGGAATCATTCCAGGGCGTCTGAACGCTGGTGCGTTGCATGGAGTTCGCAACCCTCCGCAGTACCAAAATCCGCCCACCGCTTTTTGGACCCTCGAGCCGAGCTTCCGGGCCAAGAGCTGGCTCCGCGCGCCAGGAGCGCCAGGACGCCGCGGCCTCGAAGGCCCGAGTTGCGGGGGGGTCACCCGCGCCCCGAGACGGGGAGGAGAAACCTCGCCGGAGAGTCGGCCGGAAATTTTTCCGTGGGGGTAGTAGGGGCATGTAATTACGCAAATCTTGGGTATTTATGGGGGATAATTAGTGGGGGGATTCTAGTTGGAAGGTAGGTGCAAATGAAGCCACCAGGAGCACCGGAGGCTTATTTTTTTGTCCATACGTCCATTTGCCAGGGTTCCGTTGTTGATACCGATTTTTGACCCACAGCCATGTTGGTTTCCAAAGCAGCAGTCAATGGATGATGAGTTTTTGTGCGTATGCATTTCTGTCATCGTCTATTAGTTGGACACTGATGGCTTGTTTCACCGAGAAATGAAATTCGCATGATCTGCCAACTATTTGGAGGCCACCGGTATTGACTGCCCTCATGCGGCTTCAAAGGCTGAAAGATTGTTCGGCGCTGAGCATTTGATCACCACCACGTACACAAGACACAGCAATCCCAAAGAACTACACATACAGGTAGACATGTGCATCCATACATACTCACATTGCATATACATACGTATGCTACACAAAGGAGCTTCATATAGGCCGAATCATATATCCCTATTCGCGGGTTGTTTGGGAGTTCCCCAGGATTGCCTTAAAGGTAAGTCCAGATTTGGTGCTGTCTGCAGGGAACGGAGGACGAGGCCGGCGAGCGACCAGCGGTGTTTCTGCAGCTTTCGGAGTAGTAGGGTCAAAATAGGTTGCACCTGGACCCTGGTCACCTTGAAATTTGAAACCAACAAAGCCAACATTTTAAAGGTCACTGCCTAAGATTCAGGGGTCCAATGGGCCCATTTTCTCGGGAAAGGGGTCGGGCCACTCCGAAGGATTCCTTTGGCAAACCGGGCCCGCTTTCCCCTGTGTCCTGTCGGGACCCAAAGTCCAAGTGCTAGGCCAGCAGCTGGATCATCTTGAGTTCCGACCATCCAACAGCCCCTGTTGGCCAAGGCAGTGGAGGTTTACCTAACCGGTTTTATGAGAGTTCCCTTTTGGTCACCCCCAACATGAGCACATCCAGATGGGCTTCCCAAACTTGAAGCCCCAGATGCAAAGCTGCTGTCATGTGACAGGCAAATCTGAGTTTGCAGGTTTTTTCTTGTGCCAGATCACCTTGCCTCTTTGCCAGACCTGGGTTTCCTCCATTCCTTCACGTTTTCCAAGCCCGGGCTTCGAGCGCCTTGACACCGAAACTGGCTCAGGAGATGCTGGATGTCCGCCCCAGCCCGAAGGATGAGGCACATGTGGGGCGCGCTTTTTTTGTCGTCAGGCGTACTTGGGTGTGAACTTACGTTTTTCTTTTCAAGTAAGGCCACAAAAGGGTAGCTGTCCTTAAAAAAGGACAGCACTTCTCAAAGAACCAATCAACAGCTTATTGTCTATGCATGCTGGGTTCATAGGAGCATGTGTCAAAACAGGGCGACATCAAAGCGTTTTTGACACACAGCCATCATTGGCTTCGGCTCCCGCTGCGCTGCCACGCGCCTCCTGCTGCTGACCTGGCAGCTCTGCTCATCCAGTAGCGATGCTTCAAGCGTGAGCCGGGGTGGCTCGCAAATGGGGGTCCAAAATGGAACACTGGTAAGTGGACAGGTAGACTAAACCCCGCGTACCCCCAGTTGCTTGATTTTGAGAAAACGCCCAGCCTTTGAAGGCGCCTCAAGACGCAGCCTGCAAAAAGTTTGAACAAAACCAATGGGCCTCGCCGGCCAGACTCATGTTGCCACAGCGAGTCGTGAGCTTGGCATGAGCAGCGCGTGCTCTTGTTCCTTGACAGATCTGGCGCGACCTTCCGCCGTTTGAGTGGCTCGCGCTGGTTGGAGTCCTCCATGTATCAAGGGATTTTCGCGGAGGTGCCCCCGCACCTTCTTCCCCTCCCCCCCACACCTTCTCCCCCCCTCCCCCCCCTCCCCCCCAAACTTCCTAACCCCTTCATCTCCAACCTCTTCATCCGCTTCCCCCCCCCCCAACCCTTGCGCAGTCCTCAATGTTCCTGCAGCGACTGCTAGGCGTCAATTTCTGCCCAAATTGTCGGCTGGTTTTGCTCACGCCCCCTGTGAGTTGCTTGTCGTGCCCGAGAGCAGCATTCTAATTTTGCATGTCCATGAGGGCAAATGCATATTATGACACTACCTTTGAGTTTTAGAGCCACTAGTTTGCCAGCGTTTCGTTTTCTCAAGCAGGCGAGCCAAAGCAGGCGAGCTGAATGGGGCTTTTTTGAAGCTAGTTTCGAATCCAAGTTTGTGAACCACATCAATTGTTGGGAGGTTGGCAAACCCATAGGCTCTAGGACGAGTGCGGGGGAAGGCTTTTGTGGCTCGTTTTTCGCCCGCGAGCGGCGAGGCGTCTCGTCCGGAAGCCTTCCCGCCACGCTTTGATTGCGTGCGTGACCCGACGCTTTGATTGCATAAAGGGAACCAAAGGAATCGCTCATTGTCACTCTTGGGCTGCAATGGCTCCCCTTGCTATGGCTTTAAATCAGCATAGGACACTTTGCTGAAGCGCACCAAGATTTAGAGCCGCATGATTCACGATTTGTTCAGGGGCATGTGACGAATGCTTCTCTGCTAGAATTCAAGAGCAGAGGTTTTCAAGGTCTCCCGCGGTGGGTCAGGAAAGGCCTGCTTCACGAAGGGTCCAAGGCCAGGCTTCGTACGATTTCCCTCTGCTTTGGGATGAAAAAAGAACGCGTTGCCCTGGGGAAAAGGTTTGAAGGGGACACCTTGGGACTCCACGCGGCCGACCTGCGCTCCCTTTGGCGAACATTTTCGGCTCGGAGTTTGCTTTTCAACCCGCGCCTTGCGGCCGCTCTGTGGCGGCCATGGCGAGTGAAACAGGCGGGAGAACAAAGGCGAGGGACCGACCTAGGAATGTTTAATGGGGATCCCTGTGCTTGCCTTTGGAGGCGGAAAGCAACAGGAAAACAGCATTTGTTGGGCCCACTGTTTTGGGCACCAGTTGGGAGCGTGGAAGCCAACAATGGCTGATAAATCAGCAACCAGCTGGTGCAGGGTTTTGTCCACCCACAGTAGGGACCGCCTCGCACATGGTTGGCGGACATAAAAGTAGAGACTCCGAATGCACCAGCAAAGCTAGTAGGCATCGCAATTCCTTAGCACAGTCCTCTGTTCGATTGGCTCCAAAGTTGACATTGGTTTTGGCGGAATCATGATCCTGAGCAAGACAAGTCATGTCCTGGGGATTGTTCGCCCCAAAACGGAGGCGGGGCTCCTGCCTACTGCTTCTTGTGTTTTGGGTGTCGCTGACCGGCCAAGAGACATGGCATCGCTTGTTTTTCTTGTGGAGACGCAAGTAGGGCCGGAATCTGAACCTGAGCTGGCGCGTCTCCTTCTGCCCAGACGCGAAGAAGGCCGCCTACAATGCGCGGGAAAGCCGGGGCGCCTGTTGACAGGTCCAAGTGGGAAATCTGGGGTGAAATTGGTCGGGGTCCCGGTATGGACATCATGCTAGAAGCTATCTCCATGAGTCTCCGGACATGGAGCTGCACCCCACAAATGGAACACAAAAACAGCGGGGACCTCACCTCTCGCACCAACAGCCTACCACATGTCCAGTCGCTGACTTGCCAGGATGTTGAGGACTTACAGTTGGGCGAAGGCAGATGGCACAATTGCCTGGTTTGGCTTAGCATCTTTTTGACTTACCCACAAGTGAATTTTGCCTACCTTCACTCTAAGCCCCAGCAACATTTTTGTCAACACTACTCAAACAGCTCTCACTTCGTGCAAAACACGGCAACCGTCTCGCTCCGGCAGCCGCCACGCTTCAACCCAAGGCGTGTCGACGAGAAATCCTCACACTGCCTCAAAGACCATCGACTGCAAGAAGCTCGCCAAGTTGAGCACAGAGGCGCCGGGTTGGTGCCTGGTGAATTTGATCTCTTGGCTAGATTGCCGCGGTCATCCCAAGAGCCTGCTGAAAGTTGGGGCGAAAAATGGCCGCACACGGGAGACTGGTTGTTACATAAGCCTTGCAAGTTCACCTCGACTCAAGCCCCCCCAACAAACCGCCTCCCCAAAAGCAACTGAAGCACCCAAACCTTGCTTTACCGGAATGAGAGATACTGAAGCCCCCAGTTAAGAGTAAATTTGCCGGGATGCCCCCAGGAGTCCCTAGATTGGGGTTGACTAAATATGAAACCGAGTCTGAAACACGTGTTCCATGTACCTCAGATCTGGGCCAAGTTTTGGCCCAGATTCCACCGGGAGTTTCCCGCTAAACTGGGGGGAAGCTGGGGCCAAACGGGTCCCAGGACCGGGTCCTGGCGCAGTGGCGGGCCTCCTGCGGGTGTCCTATCTCTGATGAGGCGCCGAACAGATCGATTGAACGCCTGGGTATGGGGGAAAATGGTGCCTCAAAAACAAGCTAGCTAGCTAGCTAGCTAGCAAGCAAGCAGGCAGGCAGGCAGGCAGGCAGGCAAGCAAGCAAGCAAGCAAGCAAACAAGCAAGCAAGCAAGCAAGCAAGCAAGCAAGCAACAAAGCAAGCCAGCCAGCCAGCGAGCGAGCGAGCAAGCCAGCAAGCAAGCAAGCCAAGCAAGCCAAGCAAGCCAAGCAAGCCAAGCAAGCCAAGCAAGCCAAGCAAGCCAAGCAAGCCAAGCAAGCCAAGCAAGCCAAGCAAGCCAAGCAAGCCAAGCAAGGCAAGCAAGCCAAGCAAGCCACGCAAGCCAAGCAAGCCAAGCAAGCCAAGCAGGCAAGGCAAGCGAGCAAGCCAAGCAAGCAAGCCAAGCAAGCAAGCCAAGCAAGCCAAGCAAGCCAAGCAAGCCAAGCAAGCCAAGCAAGCCAAGCAAGCCAAGCAAGCCAAGCAAGCCAAGCAAGCCAAGCAAGCCAAGCAAGCCAAGCAAGCCAAGCAAAGCAAGCCAAGCAAGCCAAGCAAGCAAGCAAGCCAAGCCAAGCAAGCAAGCAAGCAAGCCAAGCAAGCCAAGCAAGCCAAGCAAGCAAGCAAGCAAGCAAGCCAGCAAGCAAGCAAGCAAGCCAGCAAGCCAGCCAGCAAGCAAGCAGCAAGCCAGCCAGCAAGCCAGCAAGCCAGCAAGCAAGCAGGCAAGCAGGCAAGCAAGCCAGCCAGCAAGCCAGCCAGCAAGCCAGCCAGCCAGCAAGCCAGCAAGCCAGCAAGCCAGCCAGCAAGCCAGCAAGCCAGCAAGCCAGCAGGCAAGCAGGCAGGCAAGCAAGCCAGCCAGCAAGCCAGCCAGCAAGCCAGCCAGCCAGCAAGCCAGCCAGCAAGCCAGCAAGCCAGCAAGCAAGCAGGCAAGCAGGCAGGCAAGCAAGCCAGCCAGCAAGCCAGCCAGCAAGCCAGCCAGCCAGCAAGCCAGCAAGCCAGCCAGCAAGCCAGCAAGCCAGCCAGCCAGCAAGCCAGCAAGCCAGCCAGCAAACCAGCAAGCCAGCAAGCCCAGCAAGCAGCAGCAGCAGGCAAGCAAGCCAGCCAGCAAGCCAGCCAGCAAGCCAGCAAGCAGCAAGCCAGCAAGCCAGCAAGCCAGCAAGCCAGCAGCCAGCAAGCCAGCAAGCCAGCAAGCCAGCAAGCCAGCAAGCCAGCAAGCCAGCAAGCCAGCAAAGCCAGCAAGCCAGCAAGCCAGCAAGCCAGCAAGCCAGCAAGCCAGCAAGCCAGCAAGCAGCCAGCAAGCCAGCAAGCCAGCAAGCCAGCAAGCCAGCAAGCCAGCAAGCCAGCAAGCCAGCAAGCCAGCAAGCCAGCAAGCCAGCAAGCCAGCAAGCCAGCCCAGCAAGCAGCAAAGCAAGCCAGCAAGCCAGCAAGCCAGCCAGCCAGCCAGCCAGCCAGCCAGCCAGCCCAGCCAGCCAGCCAGCCAGCCAGCCAGCCAGCCAGCCAGCCAGCCAGCCAGCCAGCCAAGCCAGCAAGCCAGCAAGCCAGCAAGCCAAGCCAGCAAGCCAGCAAGCCAAGCAAGCAAGCAAGCAAGCAAGCAAGCAAGCAAGCAAGCAAGCAAGCAAGCAAGCAAGCAAGCAAGCAAGCAAGCAAGCAAGCAAGCAAGCAAGCAAGCAAGCAAGCAAGCAAGCAAGCAAGCAAGCAAGCAAGCAAGCAAGCAAGCAAGCAAGCAAGCAAGCAAGCAAGCAAGCAAGCAAGCAAGCAAGCAAGCAAGCAAGCAAGCAAGCAAGCAAGCAAGCAAGCAAGCAAGCAAGCAAGCAAGCAAGCAAGCAAGCAAAGCAAGCAAGCAAGCAAGCAAGCAAGCAAGCAAGCAAGCAAGCAAGCAAGCAAGCAAGCAAGCAAGCAAGCAAGCAAGCAAGCAAGCAAGCGAACACACAAGGACACACAAAAGCACAAACACACATGCTCACACACACAACCACACAAAGACACAAACACACGAACACTCAAACACACATCACACACACACGCACACACCGAGCAAAACACGCAAACAACCACACAAGCACAAACACAAATACACAAATACAGAAAACACACACAGACACACAAACACAAATCGCCCGGAGACACACACACACAGACACACACACACACACACACGAACGCACAGACACACCAACACACATTCTCACAATCACAGAGACAAACAAACACACACACACACACACACCATATACCACCACACAAACACACAAACACACAAGCACACGAACTCGCAAACACACAAGCGCACAAACACAAACACGCAACCACTTTGACACGCAAACGCACACACACAAACACTCAGGCACGCGCACACACACACACACAACACACACACACAAACACACCAACAAACAAACACACAAGCAAACAAGTATGCAAGCAAGCAACTACTCAAGCAAGCAAGCAGGCAGGCAGGCAGGCAGGCAAACACAGAAAGAAAGAAAGAAAGAAAAAAGAAAGAAAGAAAGAAAGAAAGAAAGAAAGAAAAAAAAAGAAAGAAAAAAAGAAAGAAAGAAAGAAACAAACAAACAGAAACAATCAACCCACCAACCAACCAACCAACCAAACAAACAAACAAACAAACAAACAAACAAACACAAACAAACAAACAAACAAACAAACAAACAAACAAACAAACAAACAAACAAACAAACAACCAACCAAACAAACAAACAACCAAACAAACAAACAAACAAGCAAGCAAAACAAACAAACAAACAAACAACCAAACAAACAAGCAACCAAACAACCAAATAATCAAACAAACAAGCAAGCAAGCGAGCAAGCAAGCAAGCAAGCAAGCAAGCAAGCAAGCAGACAAACACACCCTGCACTTGGTCAGCGAAACCTCGCCCATGGTTTCCGGGAGCACAGGCCTGATCGGCGGCATCATAAAAGTATAACTACCAATTTCAACAGCTGGGACAAACCGCAGGCTTGAGTCTTTGTTTCCATATACAGTTGTGAGGTTGAATAATAG